GTAGGTAGGTAGGTAGGTAGGTAGGTAGGTAGGTATGTATGTATGTATGTATGTATGCATCCAGGCAAAATGAGAAGATCCTGATGATATTCCAAACCCATCTTTGTCTACGTTTCACTCTCTATATATACGTTACTTACTTTCTCGACCCCTGGAATCTTAGAAAAGTTGTTTTAAACTTAATGTTTTTTTTCTCTTAGCAAAGACTTGCGAAACCGACGAGGAAATAGACGCTTTCGTTCAAGGATACGCTAAGACTGATTACCATCCCTGTGGAACGTGCAAGATGGGAGCCGAAGATGACCCGATGGCTGTCGTTGACACGCAAACACGTGTCTTCGGAGTCGACAATCTTCGGGTCGTGGATGCGTCTTTAATCCCCAGTATAGTCAGCGGTAATCTTAATGCTTCTACGCTCATGATAGCGGAAAAGGCCGCAGATTGTATTTTGGGGAAGTCGCCGTTGCCGAAGGAACACGTTCCAGTATATAGCACGTCATAACCATTAGCTGTTGTTACGGAACTCTGGTTAGAGATGTGATTTATGAACATGTGCTGATCTCGTTTCTGCCATCATTTGAGCCAACGCCACAATTCGAAGGCTTTAGCCAGTTCCAACATTTTTAGTTCGTGCAGAAACTTCTATATCGTCCTTTTAATTAATTTTTTTTATTTGTGCAGGTTGTGATCATGCGGAGATATCGGATTCATTGATTTACTCAAGCCTCCGCTTAAAACAAGGCTGAGAGCAAAACAGATTTTAAAATTATAATGCAATAAAAAGCCATATTCACAAGAAAATATTTACACGTGGCCTCGTTTTGAAACTGAGGCCGTCTAGGACTCGGAATTTTCCCCGCAGTTAAATTATAATCTGAAATAATCTACCTTAGATTTCTTCTCGAGAGCAGAATTGTTCGGCTATTTTGGAGTCTCAAATACGGATTCCAATGAATTTCAATCCTTTTACTTACGAAATCTTTAAGTTATAATCCAAAAACCGAACTTCGTCCCTTTTACTTGTATTCTTTGTTTAAAATTGAACCTTTCCTTTAATGGCAGTTCTGATGAGGATTCGAGGCAAGGTATAGTCAATGAATTTTTGTCTTTAACATCTGATAATAAGTGAGGTATTATTCGTGCATTCTGAAAATACACTTATTTTAGAATTTGAACAGCTTTTCCCATAAAAGTTAAAAAAATGGTGACAATGATAATTTTGACAATAAGGATGATGGTAATGGTAACTACAATTTAACTCTGACATCTTCACTTGTGGTGAGTTTTATGGACCCTTATCCAATAATTTTATAAACATTTTCATGGTGCTCACTACTCATATTCCTCTTAGTATATATCATATTCCGCCTCTCGGTTACCTCACTTGGTTAGAGCGCCGGATTGTGTTGTGCGGGAGGTCGAGGGTTCCAGCCCCCGGCCGCGGACCAATACTCATGGTCTTAAAATAAGTGAGGAAAATTTGCTACCTTTCTACAATCAAGAAATTGATAGATATTCTAGTCTTCTCGGATAAGGATGAATAAACCGTAGGCCCCGTCTCCAGCAGGGTTAGGGGTAGGAGACGTGAATTTCCCACGCACGAGATTACTGTGTGGTGGATGTCCTCCCCTGGGTGGGATGGGTGGGTGTTGGCCTTGAAAAGCCCCTATGGGGAGTGGTCAATTAACCTGTGTATGTATGTATGAATGTTTCTAAACACCGAATGATCTTCATATGTCACTTTTGCCCATCTTCATTACAGAAAATAGGTTGAAAACAATCTCCTTGAGTCTCAATCACGCATTTCAGGAATCTCTTGTATTTCGGGGAGTGCCGGTTGAGGTAACTGCTAGAGCTTATTTTTCACTCGGACATACCGTCTCAGGCTACATTTAAGACGTCAAGCGTTTAAAAGCGCCCTGCTTGTAGAAAGCACATTTTCCAGCCATTTACAGATCTCAACGAGAATTAACAGGTCAGTAGAAGGTTAGCTCTTATCTTTATAGCGACGAACAATCTGTAGAAAGCTGTTAAATTTTATCCCACTGATGATAAGCTAAAAACAGGCCTGTTTCCGAGCAGTTAATCAAATCTGTAGCTACTGTATCTGTTTTATCCCCTGAGCTAAACAAATGTGAGCTTTACAATCTCAAAGGTCAAAATCTCTATGAAAAGTAGAACATCGACTAGTACCCGTTCTTTTCTTACAGCACCAATTTCTTAGCATATTAGCTTTTTCTGCAACACAAAAGCTACATAAACTAAGTTTTACGATAAACCCAAAAAGACATCCCAAACAACTCCTCGCAGACAACAGAGTCGGCGTACTTTTTGGTTATCTTTGGAAGGAGAGACCAGACATTTACAACATCACCACTGGTTCAGTTCAGTTAAATTTTTGGGACACAACCCTGTAACGCTATCATTGTTTTGTCTGACGTCCCATCTTGTTCCAAACCGTTCGAGTTCTTGGTCTAACTCAATCTTTTTGTTTTGATAAAGCTGTCTTTACCAATACCTGAAGTAACGTTATGGGCGAGTGTCACTGAATCGCGTCAAGCACTGTGTTCTCTTGCCCTTGTCCGAAAATTTCGACCGGAATGATTTTGAATTGAGCCTTGAACTTGTCATTTGTTTCTGTCATGTATTGGGCGGTTGCCAATTAAACTATTTCGAAAGATAAGCGTTGTCTACGAAGACAGACAACAATTTTAATAGGTGTTGTACGACGCGACCCTCATGCCATCACGAAACTATTTAGGACCAGGCCCTCAGCTTAAAGAGACATGTGACTTATCAATTTTTCTGTTATTTAATTCGTTTTTTATCCGATATTCCTTGGATAAATGATTTATTGCCCAGCTCTGTATCGTTTTTTTTGCCGGAGGGGTTCCGTGTGCTTAGTTTTCCTGTGCGCTATTTGCTTTTTTTTCTGTTCAACTCTGACCTCAAAGATAAAAAGTTTCTCAGTAAAGATATTTACATTCTAACATAACACAGAAATGAGTTTTTGTATGTACTAGTCTAATTCACGCTTCAATTAAGAAGAAAGAAAAGCCTGTTGCGATCCGTCAGTTGTGCGGAGCCCTCGACTCACCACGGCTAGATCACCTCCCACGATCAAATTACACCTCCATACTCTGTCTCGGATCATAGTCTCGCGTTCTTAGTCACAGCCGCGCTTTTATCGGTAAATTTTTGCTTAGAACCCTCAAAGACGAAGAACCCGCAAGTTTCTCTAAACAGTTCCATTTATAAACATCTTTTTCCCTGTCATTGCAGAACCACCAATGCCTCCAAAAGTGGAACACGTGGAAGGGCCCACTCCCTGTCCGCGATGTGGATAATAACGTCGAAAGGAATAATGTGGATAATATGATAATAACGTCGAAAGGAATCATCAGAAAAAAAACTAGAAAATTCTACGGAAGGAAATTTGTGATGTGTGAAAATTGCCCTTTTTGTAGATTTTCTGCAGTTCCGCTCCGTAGAAATTTTTAAAAATCTTTGTGTATTTTCCTTTTCTAGTGCCAAAAGCAATCACTGAAAAAAATCAGGGAGTCACTGGGTTAGTTTTCGAATTATTTAAGCCACAAGCTTAAAAATGCGTCAGAATAAGCCTATGAAAGGGTTGCCATGGAAACTCCTACTGACGAAATGACAGATATTTTTGGATAACCAATGATTATCTAATTCAACCCCGTAAAAGTGTTCAACTGGCCTTGGTCAGTCTTTCTGTTGTATACTTTCAAAGTTACAAACCATCAAAAAGATGAAAACCGGTACAAGCCACCTTAAGTGGCACCAGAGCGTGTCCACGTTTTCAAAACTTTTCAAGGACCCAGTATCTAGGAGCCCCTCCCTCTTCGATTCAAAATTCCTTAATAAGGGTCTTTTTCGATTACACTAACCCTATATTTATTTTTAGGCGAAATCTATTGTAAAGGATGTTACGCCAAGCTATTTGGCCCTAAAGGTTATGGTTATGGTGCTGGAGCTGGGGCTCTCAAGCTCACCCAGTAACAGCAATATCGACATTATACCGTGATGGTAACACTCTTCGCGAGTAGAAGATGGATTTCTTTTACCTCTCCTTATAGTTGTGATAATTGTTTCAAGTTTAGTACACTGAACATCTCAGAAATAACCAATAAATGTCTTAGGAAATTAACCCTTTCACTCCGAAGATGCAATCAGTAATTCTCCCTACCCAGTGCGATACTTTTCCTTGTGAATCAGATGGGAGAATTTAGTCTTATTACCAAAAGAAGACGCTCTCGCCTATATGCTTTTTGTTCTGATAACCTGTTTGCGACATAACTTATTAGAATTTCATGGAGAAGTTAATCCTCTTACTGTGTTCCTTGGATTTTGTAGGGTGCCTCTGAATCTAAAGGTAGATATTTCTGATACTTTACAATTTAGTAAAGAAAATTGGGTATTGCTATATTAGTTTTAAATTAAATAAAGCTCCATTAAGGGTGTTTCTGCGAGCCTGAAGCGTTACGACAGAAACCTATTGTCTTGAAAAGAAATTATCACAAGTCCAGAAACAATAGGACAAGTTTTTATTATCACCTTTGTGGGAATATATGGAAAAGTGTGGTATTATCAGTCTGTCAAAGAAATGGTGTTTAGAAATAAAGGAAACCATATAGAGCTAACTTAATCTGTTCTGGTTTCCTTCTTGAGCATTGTATCAATATGAGTGGAGGGATATCATAAAAGATAATTAAAACCACCATTTTATGCCTTAAAAAACTTGCTAAAAAATACTACTGGCATTGAATTGGGAGATAAACACGGATTAAATAAATTTGAAGGCTTTTCATAGTTTTATTTTAGTGGTTCTGCTCCAATTGACCGTTCAATACCGGAGGAAGACGGTGCAAACAGGCTGTTTGGACTCAGTAAAGGGTGACCATGGCTAATTGATAGAGGTGACCGCTTGATAGAGGAGAAAATTAGAGTGTTCTTGGGACTTAGACAACTGACGCCTTAATACATAGTGACAGCTTAATGCAGGTGTGACTGTAATTAGCTCCCCAAATTTGAGTGTTTGTACAAACAATTAAGGCAGTTGGTTTCCCTTTGACCCCAGACCAGTGCTACATATTACTACAGAGAATTGAAAGATGCAGCAAATAACTCTGTTTTGTTCATTTTATTTTGTTACAAAACTAATCTTGTAAATCTAGAACAAAACCACAGTGGATCACCATTTGCTTAACAACATTACATTTTTCACACCATTTTACTGAAAAATTTTGCTAACCCAGTGTAATTTATTACAAAAAAAGGCATGGATAAGTAACCCCCTTATGAAAAAGTCTACAATGCTTGCATCAAAATACTTGGAATGAGTGTTTGATCATTTTTATAGATGAAGCCATGTTGTGCACAGTAACTAGTAAGTTGCATACACGTCACTGAATGTAACCAAAAGGGGAAATTTACTTCCCCGTCAAATGGAGTGCACCAGCTCCTGCACCATAGCCGTATCCTTTGGGTCCAAATAGTTTGCCATAGCAACCTCTACAGTAAACAAGGCCTGAAAAACAAATTGAGACTTTTCAACAAAGTTGAAATGGTAAATTGGCCACCGTGACAATTACAAAAAGCTGACGTTTCAAGCGTCAGCCCTTCGTCGGAGTGAATAGAGGAATCGTGGGTTGTGTGTGCTTTTAAAGGCAGAAAATGGAGCTATGTTATTGGTAGGAACATGGCAACGAGAAAAACATGAATAAATTAGTGGAATGAAAAGCATTCGTTGATACCTGTGGGATTTAGACTGACAAACAAAAGACTTGGTATGAAATTTATCATTTTCTGGCCTTGTATTGAGAAATACAAAACCAGACATAATAATAATAATAATAATAATAATAATAGTAATAATAATAATAAACAGCATTTTTAGAGCACCTATCCAGTCGTGCTCTAGGCAATTCACAATATATAAAACATAGGTAAATTGCATACACAAATATACATACATATATATATATAGACACATACATGTATAAATCAATAGCAGTAAATAAAAATAATTACAGTCCTTGGAATTAAAGACTTCCTTGAATAAATATGTTTTAAAAATAATTACAGTCCTTGGAATTAAAGGCTTCCTTGAATAAATATGTTTTAAGTTTAGATTTAAAAGAACTCAAATTATCACAAAAAACGTCTATGGGCAGGCAAATTGTTCCACAGTTAAGGTTCAGAAACCGCAAAGGCTCTAGAGCCATAGGACTTTAAGTTATGGTTGACAATGTTTAGATGCATTGAAGTGGATGATCCTAGATTTCGTGACAGAAGTAGCGGGTTATCAGACCTTGAATGTAGGTGGTGGGGGACTGTTTGTGTATAGCCTTGAATTCAATGGAAGAAGACTTATAGATGCATATGGTTAACACTGCAACCCCTAAAAGTGTTAAGCATCTAGTTTCTCCTTTAAGTAACATACCTGAAACAAACATTGAGGTTGTGTGAATGATGGAAATAATCATCAACTGAAGAAGCTCTTGATTGTTAAACAATTTCTCCTTTTCAGTACCATAGGAAAGGTACTGAGATCAGTACAAAGAATATGATGCTGATGTTAAGGGTGCACTGACAACCCCAAAATAGTTAAGGTAGAGGTTCAGTTTTAAATGATGAAATGACAGCTAAAGAAAACCCTTAGCACTGATCAGTACCACTCTTTCAAGAAATGACTGATCAAACAAACAGTATAAATGATGTATATAAGAACGATCCTAAATGATGTCATACCATCATGGTCATTGTATGAGCCACTGTCTAAGGACTTGTTGCAAGTGGGCTTGTTGCTACAAGTGAAGCAGCGTTTGTGATACTTGTTTTTTCCTGCTTTGACCTCCTCTGCTGCATAGACACGGTCATTACAACGAGGACACCTTTCTGCATTAGATAGAAATAATGACATTATTGACCGGAGTCAGAGCCTATTCATAAAATATTGTTTGATAACTGTTCCCGGGAGGAGGGGGGGGTTTACAATGGACTAGCACCCAATCCAGGGGTAGTAGAGGTATTCCTTGTTTTTTTATGCTAAGGAAACAGAAAAAAGCTCCTGTAGCAATGGCTCTTTGGTTCGAGTGCTGATCAATAAAAAGGGTTTCATGGAGGCATTCTTGTAAACATACAACAATCCAGTTTTAAAAGTCCCAATTTATGGCATGCCTTGTTTGTAGGTCTCCGAGTTGTTTTCTTCTGCATGACAAGTTTTTCTCTCCTCTTTCCAGAGTTTAAATGGGTACAGGAGAAAATTCAGGCAAACTTAATGAGAAAATGAGGGGTGACCCTCTGATAGAATAGCACTAGCAATTCATCCAGGAGAGGTTGTAATAATCTTCATCATTTTGAGTTGCAGAAAAGCAGCTGGTGGCTATGATATTTGGTCTTAAATGTTGAACATTTTTCAAAAAACATTTGAGTGAACTAAATGAGGAGTTCCAGCCAATATTTAACTGCTGGGCTACCTATATTAGGATGGTTATTAAAATACAGATAATTGTTTCACAGCTGGCTAGTTTGAACTGCCAAAGAATCCGACTTAAAACGGGGTAATTTTGAAAAATTTCTACCATAATTCAGATTCCACAAAAATGTATTCCAACCAAACCTATATACTTTCTGGTGCCAAACATTTGCTTAATATCTAAAAAATATTTTATGTTTCTTTTTCTTGTCAGAAGGATTGGATAAAGAAAAGTGAAACACAACGAGAGTCTGACGTATAAAACAGCTGGACAGACAAAATCCTATTGCGTTACAATCACTAAATTGTACAGAGAAGGAATTTGAAAAATGTCACGAGGGATTTGTTCTGTGAAGCCAAGCGAAACTGAAGAGTTCAGACAAGTATAACTTTAGGGCAAGCATTCTTGGGTGATCAGGAATTCTTTGAGAAGAACACGGCTACTTCGGGTATACACACAAACAGCAAGTACAGAGCTGTACAACTGCGCATTTATGCCCATAAGTAAATCATAAGTTAAACAGTTCTTGAGCTTCTTCGACTCGACATTCGTCAACCTCGTAACTTATCACGGAATCACTGCAAACTATAGTCAATCTGGTTTCGTTACAGTTACCGCTAAAGTGTTCCCACTTACTTTTGATAGCTCTTGACGATTCTCTGGTATAATTTGTGGGAATATGACTTTTCTTCGACTTATCAAAAACAGGCAAAGAGCTGTCAGCGTTGGACATCAGTTTCTAATCGGAACTCAGTTGCGTTTTATTTACGATGACCTCGAAAGATTAACAATCGCTCGCCAAAACAATTGTTTCTTTGCTTATACTACTTCGTTTTGTCAATGACTCTTAAATTTGAGTTTGCCTTTTTCGAAGAGAGATCGTAACCCACAAAAGGAAAGACCAGGTTCGACACCAAGAGATTAAAGTGAAAAAATGGAAGGACGGGCGTCAGTTTATTGCACCTAATCGCAAAATGTATACATTTATCGACCAAAGCTTCGCACTTTAATTAATATCCAGAAGAAAAAATTAATTTAACTTACCAGCCATAATTTGTGATGTCAGCAGTAGACAGCTTTCACTCACTGACAAAGAGATATACTTCCTTGGTCTACACTACACGACGAATGAACGAAAGATTGTCGGAAGCCAAGCCTTCAAATTCTAAGCGTAATTTAGAATCCGAAGTCACAGGGGATTTAAAAATAAACAGTACAATCCCTCCCCACCGGGCGGGGGTGAAATGCAGACCGCCTTCAAAAGCGGGCTTTTCAAAATTTTGGACGAGGGAACTTTTTTCTGTTACAAAGAGTTAAAGGAACGTGTGCTGTTTAGTTAACACAAGGTCTCGAATATGTTGCCTGCATTATATCGAAAAGCGCGCACTTCATGAGTCACGCCACTCGCGCTTTAGCTTTGACCCTCGAGGCCGGGCCAACAGTGGAATGGCCTCCTTCAGACTAGACCAAAATGGCTAAAAAAATGCATTTTATTCATTAGATACCAATCGGGATTTTTAACAGAAAGTATAAATTGGACTCAAAATCAAATTTTAAAACGTGGCTTTAAATCACAATAAGCGAGAGCGAGTAAAAAATGTCCTATCTCTACTAAAGAAACGAATTTTTTCAATTCCAGCCATTTCAACAGTCATTGATGCAAATATAAGAGAAAAAAGCTCTATCGACGCAACAGTCACAGAAAAATCAATTCGTCAAGAGTTTGGTGCCAACGATATTTGCAGTAGCTAATAAACCCATGTCACTGAGTCCTTGTTAACGCTCCAGCCCCTCCACCAAAGCCATATCCTTTAGGACCATAGTTTTTGCCATAGCAGCTCTTGCAGTAGATCTCATCTGAATGATGAAAATTTTAAATGTAGGGGTAAGATGTAAACTGAAATGAATGATAGATAATAAGAGGCCGCTGAGTGGCCTCCACTTGAGGTTACCTCGCTCGATGATAATCAGTTACAACGAGTAACAGAGTAGCAAGAAATCGATTAACGGCACTATGCTCTTCCAGGCAAGCTATTCCGTGATTTTTTTCGGTAGTTTTCGGCGCAATCACACAAAATGAGACCGAAAACGCCAAGAAAAAAGCAAAAACAAAACAAAACAAAAACAACATAATTAGTAACTATAAATCCTTTTAGGACTTTTATTTAGATTGTCTGATAATCTGCGCCTGCGCCTGCGCAGAAACGCCGAACGAACGCCACCGAACTTGATAACTTAGGCTTTTCCACTTGAAGCCCAAGTAATTAGTGCTCCATGAAATTAATATGCCTTGTAAACGCGTTAGGGATTTTTCTTAAGGACCCCTCTCTAATCTGTTTCAGTCAACACAGCAGGCAAACTTCCGCGCAGGCGCAAACGTTGTCATGACTACGTGTGCATGACGTGCTTTCACGGTGTCAGAACCAAGTTGTCTCACACAAGTTGCAAACAATCCCAGAAGCCAGTAAGTTATTCACGGTGTTTCAGAAGCGTATAACTTTTTCGGTAACGCTCAAAACAGAATCATAAATCAACGGGATACCCGTACGTCCCATACGCGTCCATTGCTTTGTGTTCGAAAAGTCTCGAGTTTTCCATTTCCCCCCCTAATTTTGTTTCCTTTTACAGATTAGGAGGGAAGTTTGTCATACGCTACGACTTTGTGTAGCATACTCATTTTGTCTGGTCGGCGTCCTAACACAGTTGGTGAAAGGAAAAGTTTTTAATCGTTTGTGTTATCACGTGATACTTACATCCGTGCATGTTCAGGGTAGTACTGTCCAAGCCCTTTCTGCATTCCACGCATACGAAGCAGGTCTTGTGCCAAGGATTGCCGTTTGAGTCTTTTTTCTCTTCAGCTTGGTAAACGGACTTTGCACATCTCTGGCATTTCTTTTGAGGTGCTGGGGTAAAAGGCATTTTGGTTTCCTATTACATCATAAAAAATAGATTTTGAGACTGTTTATTGATGAATCTTAAAGGATATCCCTTTGAACTAAAAATATTCGTCAAATAATTTTTAGAGATGATGTCCGCAGAGATATATATTTATAATCCTAGATTTCTTTACGAAGCGAAGGTTAGGAAGTCTTCGAAATGGATTTATTTTTTTCTTTTCTCTGTCAAGATGATGACGTCACCCAAACACTTAATTCTCCTTAGTCCTTCCTCTCTTAGAAAAACGCAATCCACTGAAAATAATTTCTGAAGCTGAGAGAACTGTGAACTATTTATCTACTTTACCCTGGAGGAAACTAGAGTTAGTCGTGTAAGGAAAGAAATACAATACGGAAAGGAGGGTTTTAATGGGGTTAATCGTAAAACCGTGAAAGTGGCAAAAACACTTTTCTCCATTAGGCGTAAAAATTGACATATTAGCTAAAAGTCCCTCTGCATCGTTTAGGATTTGGAATAAACAGCTGTTCTTCTCTAGAAATGCACAGTTTTGAATTAAGATAATTACCCGGTGTTTTTTAACTCTATTGGCCACGCTAAATATAAACCAAAACAGAGACGGTTTACCCAATGGATATGTTTGCACGTAAGACATAATAGTTTGCTTATTAGTATCACTAACTGTTACCAAAGGAAAACAACTGTTTTCTTCAGCTGTTCTTATTTGACCAAACATTACCGTTGGCTGCTTTTAAAATTTTTTGTTGTGTTCAATACGGGTTTGATGGCGAAAGTTTCTCGTTTCAAACCGATCACAAAAAAATGAAACAGCCGTGGGAAGAAGAAACAGTGAAGTTCAAAACACCATTACCGTAGTTCACGGGGTTAGGGCGTCGTTTGACCATGTAGATATCGTTTTCAACAAATACCTACGAAATTTGCTTTGATATCACCCGAAGCAAGAATAACTTTCAATTTGTGATACAACTGAAGAGAAGGAATGCTTTTAGAAGCTGTGAACATATGGTTTACCTTTAACAGCACAAATAGAGTCAGCACACTCGAAAGAATCTCAGTCCAAACTGCACAATTGTAGGAACCTCACTGTTAGTGGCGTCTAAGAGTGTTTTAATTAGTTTTTGTTTTGCTCCCTAATATCAGCCAACGATGTCCATTAGAGAATTGGGTCTTTGATCAACTTAACAATGAGTTAGGTTTTAAGAATTGTCGCAAATTCTCTCCTCTTTTTCAAATCATGCAAAGAATCTCTAACTGGCTTGATTACCGGAAAAGACAATTATATGCTCCGCCGGTGTTTACTTTCAACACGCTTTTCTGCTCCTTTGATTGGTGAGAAACTCTAAGCATTTGCTCTAGTTTATTCCTCAGACGTGTTTGGCATGAGATAGCTATCGCTAAGTGCATTTCCATCGTTTTTCGAGCGTTTGCTACATACCGTTATGAAAGACATAATGCCTATTTGAAGTTTGTAAGTTTATCTCTGGGTTCATTGAGGCGCGACGAGAATTTTTGGACATATAAGGAGATTTTAAACGTTCTTACAATTTGCGTGGAGTTCTCGAAAAAAATAGCTTATAGTATACGAGAATCTTTGAGAGACCGTTAACTCTAATCATGTTCTGCTGTAATGTCCTCACTCACGGAATTCTTCTTAGGAAAACACAGCTTAAGTAAAACTCGAAACAGACTTCTTTGGATATCCGATGCGAAAAATCGACATCAACAACAATCACAGATCATCGCATTCCAGAGAAGTGGTGGGCGGATGTGGATGGGGGGACAGAGAAGTGTAAAAAGGAGACGTTCTCTGGTCAGAATATGGTCCTTGGGGTCTTAAAGTCGAAAGACAGGTTCATCTTGAAGTTGAATCAAAAGTATTTTTTTGAAATCTCCCTCTCAACGTAATCTTACAAGTAAGACTAGTTGAAACAGTTTCTTTGTTATAACAGATTCATACCCAATGTTCTTTTAAGTTCTCTCTCGTGATCCTCTTAAGTTTAAAAGGTCTAACCTGTCAAGCTCTCAGGGAATAGGAAGATTCAGAAGTCTTACCTCCAACAAAATTTAAAATAGGCATAGTCACGGCGACGTCCTCATATCGCAAATTTCAACCCATCTAATTAATGTCAAGAAAAAGCCTTTCTCACTTCCCTCCTTCATACGCGATCACCTTGCCCCTCCTTCCAGGCTTTCGGCCTCTTGACCCCAGCCAATGAAGCTATGTCCAAGGATGGCTCTCCTGATGGAGGGCGTTGTCCTCTTCAGAGCAGTAAACGAGCTCACGGGTGTCAAACCCTGCTCACACCTCTACTTCCTAAATTCGCTCTCATACTCTCCCCTTCCAACTGGACCTGTCTACCGCACCATCTGACCTCGTGAGACTGAAGAACCACTTTGTATACAGCATAGTCCTGCTAACCTACAAATTCATTTCCTATTTCAGAGTCTTTCACAGACAAAAGCAAATTAAGAATTCTAGCCCTTGGAGCAGCACTTGCTCAGTTAGAGCCTACATAATAGTGCCTATCTCTCACTGGGCCTGGGTTTTCAATCTTAAAATCAAATAAACATTGCAAAAACTTTTAATTTCCAGCTGGATTTTTCGAGAAATCGAATTAAAAACTGTACTCATGATCTTCCGTAATCTCCATAGGTAAGTTTGGGCTTCATATCTACTATACTGTCTGTTGTGCAGAAGTAACAAGTCAATAACAAAAACTATCATGCTTGGGCCATAAAATGACCCAAATTAGGGGATGAGAACATTTTGAAGAGAGACATGGAAGAAAGTAACATCAAACCATCTCTGGAATACATGCACTATCCATTCTCTATTTCAAAATAAAAAAAAAATTGGAAAAAGAATGTTAAGACAGAAATTCTGTGTAAGTATAGTCTGTGGACAGCTAATTTGACAGCCATGTGGGAGGCCAGGGTAAGATAAATATTGGCTTTTCCTTCTAAAACAAGTTTCTGCCTTACTTCTCCCTTGTTTTTGTTGAGTTTGGCAAACTGAAAAAAAAAGGGATGTGTCAAAGTTTGCTGAGTTTATTGTTTGTAGTGAAGGAAAGAACTTGGATGACATAAACTAAAGTATATGATATCCTTTCAAATGCAATTTAAAGGTAGTTGTCTGAGGTGTGTTGAGTTCTGTCATAAATTTTCAATGCAGGATATAAAGCCACACTGCATAACCAAGATCAAAAGAACCTTAATAAGTGCTATGAAAAATCATCATGATAACTTTGTTTAATAGTCCAGTAACAAATCACTATGTGGATACAATAGTTCAATGTAGCTCCCTACAGTTATATACATACAACTTTCTTATGCACAAACTCAAATGCACAAATTTTACAACCATTCAGTATCATTTGTACTCATCACAGCCTTTAAGCAGTACCTTCCACCACTACTTATCTTTCATTGTTTCTGATGGGCAACTTGAAAGACTCAGTCGTGAACATTTCTTTTAATTAACAATTGAAAATAATTGTAAAAACCAAAAAAAAGAAAGTAAACAACCAGTAATTCTGCAGATGCACTATGCTGTTTGTACAGTAAGGCTGTTCATAGTCTACCTGCACTATAGGTCCTTCCTGATACAAACACACAGTTAAATCTCAAAATCACTACATCCACAAAGTGATAGAAATCACTTTAGGTGACTTTAAACAACTATTCTAGCTTCATCATGATGACTTTGTCCTGAGGAAAATATCTCTGCATTCTTTGGTTGTACTTGAATGATAACATTTATCTTTTGAAACTCTCGGAAGTATGTCAAAAAGAAAAGAAGGAAACATATGGACATTAACCATTCACTGAAGGTACTCGCCAGATGAGCATTGTATCCCTGTTAAGATATACAAAAAAAAAAAAAAAACTCGCGATAAGTTGGAGCATGGATTAGACAACCATATCCTTTAATTCTTTCAACGAAAAAAAGATATCAGTGACATACAGCCAGCTTAAGGAAATAAACTGGAATAAGCCAATGACAAAAGTTATTTTCCTAGTGACCCATTTTAATTGAAACAGGTTAAAGAGCAAATACTAATAGCAATGATTGGAAGATAATGAAAAGAGTAGCGAGCAGAAAAATATTTCCTCCAATTCTCTGATTGTATGTTTCTTCATATTCTACACCCGTTGGTATGCATTGCTTCTTTGCAGAAAAAAAAAAAAGAAAAAAAAACATACAATAAAGTTTGTGGGGAGTTGAGGAATCAGATGCATTTTGGAATAAGAATTTTTATTATGGGTAAAAAGGTGACTCCAGATAAAATTTCACAAGTATCATAGAATAAAAAAAATTGTGAAACTAGAAGTTTCAAACCACAAGAGACATATTAACAACCTGGAGAATCTTTATGGCCAAGTATGTGCCACAATATTATAATTATACAATCAGAGAATTTCTCCATGAATTAGTAATGGTGATAGCGGAATAGAGAACTTCAACTGCAAATCTGAGAAATATCTAAGGCTAAATTGAAAAAGGGTACTCCTGAATCAGTAGGAACTAGTATTTTCTTGTTGAACAGTCACTATACCACCTCTACCCCATGCACACAAAGACTGGGTTAGTGATTTGTCTGAATACTTACATCATCTGTTTCCTTCCATATGTTGCTCATGTTCTTATACTGTTCCTTGTGTGCTGCTGTGGCAGCACCTCCAGCTGCTAATGCTATATTCAAAATTAATTTAACATCAAGGACAACACCAGCAATAATTATTGGTCTTGGCATCAGAGCTAAAATATCCTAAAACCCTCTGCTACAAAAATTGAAGTTAATTAATCTGATCTGGAAAGTGAGATATTGATAGCAACACCCTATATGCCTGACGACTGTGTGTGTGTGTGTGTGTGTGGTAGACTACCATGGCTTCAAAAGCTTATCCCAGTTACTGTGCCAAACAACAGATAGGAGTATTGCTATTCCTTCTGGATAATTTGTAAATAATCAGGGGAATAATAAGAATTTAGCAGTAGACATTCCAAGAGGTGGCTCTTCTCGTCCACTGTTTCCAAGCTGAACTGGAGTTTGAAAAGTTAGTTTTTCGGAGGAAGGAAACTTGGAAGACCCAGAGAGTAACCCTCTGAACAAGGATGAGAACCAACAACCAAGCAAACCCACATGTGAAGCCAGGACTGAGAATCAAACCAAGGTCACTGCAGAGGGAGGTGAGCCCTTTCACCATTGCCCTATCCCACTCCCTACTTTTCTAGTCTATTGTTTAATTAAATTTTGATGACATTTTGTTGGTATCTATATAAAAACATAATTGTATATGCAGTGGCCGTGTGAGGCTCTGCTAAAAATAGACTGTTCTATGATCCTGACCAACTGTCTAAACTATGTTTCTGATCTAGAGAACAGTGAACTGCGATGATTGACCTGATCACAGCATATTCCATCTTACTGAGATGTGGATAGCAAAGTTTGATCTAACTGAAAGAGGATACTGATGATAAAAAACAGAGTTACAAGAGCTGATAGAATAAATCTTGTGCAAGAGCTAAGGGCAGAGCTGGTCGCCTGATTTCGCATTAAATGGGAAATAAAGGCCTGAATCCAGCAGTACAGTGTCCCTAAACCAAACACCATGATAGCGCCTGTCAAATGTGTTGGCAAAGAATTTGTCTCCTAGAAAAGAACAATAATCTTTATTATCCAACTACACCTAGATGAGTACAAATAACGCCATAGACGAGTACAAATATCACGCGGTATTTGTACTCCAGAAAGCCGGTTAGACAGGTTTTCTCGCATCGCGCACGCGAAGAATTGGATTGTAGTTAAAAAAAAAAAACAAATGGCAGACAATTTGAATCATATTTCCGACAACAAAGAGTCAGAATGGCTGGCAAATATAGATCCAAGTCCATTAGATGAATTGAACGAAGAAAAACAGCTTGACGACCAGAAAATGTCTTCATTTAATGAAGAATATAGAAACAGCAACACAACAACGCGCCAATTCCGTTCCCCTTCGCATACTTCTGTCACGCACTCCCCGTAAATAAACATCTGCAAAATTTGCTCGCACTGAAATAACAGTTTGGCGTTTTGGATAATAAATAACTTATTAGACGTTTTGTTGTGTAGTATCACTGAGTATTTTTACTCGTTATTTGTATTTTGTCTTGCCCTACGGGCTCGTCAAAATACGGCACAACTCATAAAAATACTCAGCGATACTACACAACAAAATGTCTAATAAGATATATATATTATTACATTGTCAATAATGGGATGAGTGTTAAAGAAGACTGATTAATGAGGATCTGGAGTATTTTCTGTGCCATTCAGGCAAAGCAGAAAAAAGCAATCTAGAAGGAAAAAAATTAAATGAGCTGTTTACCAGTCTAAGATGGGAAATGGATAGGGATAGTGGGAACAGTTTTAAAGCTTTTCAGTTTGAATAAACACTAACTTTTCCTCTGTGATACCTTAAAAAGAAACAATTCTTAAGAAAAAATTGTTGCAACGATATGTTAAACAATAACAGTATTAATTTTAATCTAGATAATGAGGGTTTCATCAAAAACCTAGAACATACAATGTAGCATTTTCAGCCCAAAATAACACACCCTTAATGGCAACTAAATAATTTCATTGCTTTCATCTTGCCAAACTTACTTGAAAGTTAGCAACCATAGAGAGGCCCAAGCATGTGAAGGCCGCAATCCACAAGGAGCAATAGTTAAGTTTTAATATAATTGGCGTGTCTGTGACATTGAATTCTTTTACATGTCGGTAGTGGATGTACATTGCCACAAATGCTGCAAAAGAATCAAACAATAATCTAAAACATTTGTGTCAAAGATGACTCTTATCAATACAAGGATTCCAAAAATCTTACCTGAAAGGGTCACATGTTAAAAAAACAAACAAAAAGAAAAAACCATGTGATTTCAAAAAGAAATAGGCATGCCATTTGGTGAAATTAGTATTTGATCAAATTATTTTGTTGGCTGTTATCAATATAACACTTGAAAACAAAAATTATAGTATTTCACCCTGGTTAAAAAGATCATGGCTATAGGGAATATACACTTTGAGGATAAATAACTGTCTAACAAAACACTTTAAATATGGTCGTACGCTTTGATTTGTGGTCGCTTTCACAAGTCAGATCATTCAACAACTATTTTCAAGGGGTTTAAGGTAGGAGCAAACTAGACAAAATACAAATTTATAATCAAAGTTCATGGAGTTTATATCTATCAACAGCATGATTTTGAACAAATTATCTTAACTAAGAGATAGAAAAGATCTTCAAAATACCAATCACTGCCGCCATATTGAGAAACTGTCCGAAGATGCAACTCTCAGGTGGACGAGACCCTGCATCACTAAAGAGAAACAAACAGAAAAACAGTCAAGGAACAAGAATTTCACCAAAGAAAAGTAAAGGTTCAAACCTGTTAAATTCAGAAATAAATGAGGATGAAGGGTTTGCCGAAGATTCATGGTCCCCTCCAGAAATAGAATAATTCTACAACAACATTAATTGGGTTTTCCTTTAAAGTTCATGAATTCCCAATTTGAGACCAAACTTTTTCTAAAAAATATCCCGTTACCACTACTAGATTAATGTGACAGAATTATGATAAATGCTCTTAAAAGTTGCATGTGGTGGCCAAGATAAGTGCTTGCCAGCATGTTCAATCAAATGAAGTTCCCTGCTTTCCTTTACTCAGGGCTGTGGCCTTGCAGTGCCTGGTGGCCCCTGGCACCTTACTATTGCTCTTGGGCGACTTAGGATTTTTTTTTTTTTTTCATATAAAAGCCTATGCTGAGCTTCCCTGTATTTCAATGTTTCAGAGTGGTGGGCTCCCTTCCCTTTTTCTTAAAGCACAGCCTTGTTACTATCCGCATGATCTCCTATTGACTTCTATAAAACAAAAAGATCCTCTCGCCATCTAAGATGGACCCTCAACCATCCAAATTGCTTATATTTGTTTCCAGTTAAAAATTAAATTGTTCTTGTGAAGGGTGGACTGTGTTACAACCCCTTTTCTACTACTAGGCAATAAAATAAACCCATTTATTTTCTAAGACACAAGTGTCTGTCACAGAGATCAATTGAATACAACATTTTCTAGCAGTTTATCAGATACAACAAACCTTATGTATGGCCAGAGAGCATTGACATCCCCTCTGTGTACTGCCATGCCATAACTGATAACAGAAATAGAATGTATAACTAACTTGTGTTTACATGCACAGAGTTGTTCCCCTGGCATGACTGAAAAAATAAAATGATAATTCTCAATTCGATCAATCTATCATATGGGTTTACTTTCAAAGATTGACAACAACCAATCAACAGATCAGTCAAGAACCTCAATATTCAATACTACTACTACATTCAGTTGGTCATTGTTTGCCATGATGCAAATTCAAAAATTGCTTTAGTGGCTAAATAAATATTGATCCCAATGAACACAAACTTGGAACATGAAAGACAATCAATTAAAATCAATAATAACAATCAACTATTCCATTAAAAAATCAGATTCACCAGTTGCTCAAGAAGAATGACTACAATATTGATTTCCAGTGATCATTGCATTTTCATTAAAAAGTATAAATTTTCATCAGTTTGATCAGAGTTTGATAATTTGAGATTGTTTCTTAATTGGTACGAGTAAATTGTAGGTAATGTAATGTAATCTTGTATGCACATATTACTTACGCAGTGAGGGCGGCAATAATTGCAAAGCAACCGAGGACAACAGGGAGAAAATGGAGATTCCCAATGCTTTGAGGAGCCATGATTATTATAACCTCAGATTTCTGTTTTAAGAGAAAAAATATCAGATATTCGTGAACTCAAAATCTTTCTACATCTATCATTCTAGCCAGAAGGTATGACTTTGGCTATCCGTTGTATATTCTAATAGAGGATCTACTGCTGTTGGAATCATTAATTTGCTATGAGACACAGAGATACCATATTGCTACATTTCTAAATTAAATTCAGTGTAGTACCTGATTACAACCCACAAAACTTCTCAAAAGATTCACTGGAGTCCGTTAATTTCGTTCCACGTTAGCTTGATTAGTCGAGACATTTATTGCTTAAAGCTCACTTCCGAACCATTTAAGTTTTCTAAAACAAAAAGGGTATTTTCTACATCTGACATTTCTTTCACAAAAGGAGTAAAAGCTCTCTATTGAATTTCCACGTGTGCAAAGGACATTTCTAGAGATACTAGTAAAACTTTTGCAGTGCTTAACCTCTAACTACAATAAGGCAAATATACAAACAAATTATGCAGAAAATTGTTGTGTTCGTGCTTTCTCGAAACATATAACCAAGCTATGACTTCACAAGCAAGACCGGCTGGTTCGACACCTATAAGGATACAGTTTACACTTCGAAGAAACTACACAAGAACTCTACAGCGAACTCTCTCCGAATATTTGTAAGCTTTCCTTATTCGAATATTGAAGGTGTTAGAGACACTTGCTTGGAACAAGTTATAAATAATTTATTCCCCATGGTGTCAAGTTCTTTTGAATTCGCGAAAGACAGCAAGGTGCATAATTCTCGGCTAAAAGCTTAATTTCTCTTAGTTATAACCAGAAAACTGTTCTCTCACCTGAGCGAGTGAGGTCACCTATTTCGGGTAAATGACATGCTATCAGTCCGTCTGGGAACAAATATTGACCAAAGAATCATGTGACGAACTATTCCCAGAAGTGGAGGTGAAATGCATTTTGGGAAGGTAACCGGAAAATGCTATATCAACGCGCATGTACACCACCCCGGATTAATTTGTTTAATTTGTACAAAGTTCAGTGCGGAGACACATCCATTAAAGTAGAATTATCTCGATAATTTCTCAATGCAACAAAATTCCACTACTCGGCGAGAAATCGCAAAGCGTCTGTTCTTTTAGTTCACTTTATTTGGAGCAAAATGATCAAAACTGCCGGCAGAAAAAAATTCAGCTCACTTCATGAAGAGATTATAACTTGCACAGGACTATTTGATAAAAAAAAATTTATTATACATGATCGTCATATTTACAATTTAATTCATTTTCCAGAGGCTGTATTTACATTAATAATAATGCAACTAGAAAAGTTCCGATTTATGCACAAGAATGTATAAATGTTTTTTACAATAAATATTATAACTCTCTCAAATGTGACAGAGATAAATAAGTTGTGCTTGCTGGAAACACTTTCCACAGATAAGTGGGCTTTGGGTTAACGGAAACGAAGGGAGCAAAGTACAATAAATACTGTTTTATCTGGTTGGAAATTATAATATGAAAAGGGTGAACTATGATTTAGGGTAATCTCAAATTCAAAGACATTCCACTGACTAAAAATCTGGCACAAATAGAAAGCTCTTGAAGCTTCACTACGCCTATGGTATTCCAAGAAACCATAACCATGGTAAACAGTCACTTCTTCCTACCCTCGCAAACTCCAACACTAAAAAAGCCAAACGGGACATATCGTAAAAAAACACTTACTTCCAACATAACTACTAATCAGGCATTAAAAAATTCCAATTACGTTGCACAGGTCACTTGATCTTTCTCCCACTCTACTGCAACTAATTTATCAAAGTTGTCTCCCTTTTACGAAGGGGCTACTTTTGTAGCTAGGGCATTAGGTTAACCATTTCTTTTAAAGTTTCATTGATGAAAAGCATTCTAACAGATATCGGTAGTTATAAACAGGTAAGTAGGTGAAGTTGACATTTTTAAACCTAAGTGAAGCACTTTTGACTTGTGATCGGACAATCGTATCCTGTTTCACGACAGTAATGGTTGATTCGTCTTAAATCCTAGGCCTTATGCAAGTTACCAATTGACTTGTTCACTGTGACAGCAAGGGTCAACTCTGAAGTAATCAGTTGTTTGCCGAGCTTTGCACATTTAAGGGAAACTCCAGATTTGAACATCTTTGAAAAGCGAGGATCATGCAAAGAAATTATTTGCAAGGATGTGAATTTTCTACGAAGTTTTTACACTTTTCCCAACGTGTTACAAGATGTGAAGAAGGGAAATTGAGACTGCCACACTGCACATGCATGCTATGACAAATGAAACAATTCATTTATTGTAATTTAAAAAAATCGGTTGTTAGCAAGGTAACTTAAGATCGGATTGATCAAATTTTATTAAGCAGCATTTTCTCTTTATTTTTTTTCCTTTTCCCCTAAATCAGGTTGTTTAATCTCAGCATATTACTAAGATATTTAAGTTAAGAAAGCTGTCCCCACTAAGTAGTTCAACCAAGCAGAAATCACCCTCAAGGTGAAGTGCATCACTACAAAATTACCACTACATGTTATTGCATATTATTTTTCTTTAAGGCAAGACTGTACAAGTCAGTTTTAATACAAAAGATACCCCTCATAGAGAAACCAGTATTTGTAGCACTCTTGACCGATTAAAAAGATTCAAGTTATAATATAAAGCTTGTGAGGGGGCTTAATGTATACTTTGGACTATTTACAAACTGATCTTGTTCACAAGAGTTACCCAAGTCCAGTTTACGCTACAGTAACAATCATGAAGAGCTTTCAGTTGTAATTATAATAAATAAATCCTAATAGCTTTCTAGAACTGGGGTCAAATTTCCCTTCATTCTTCCATGCAACAAATGATTAAAACCAGTACTGACGATTACACACCACATTTGCCAGGGAGTACCAAAAGAAATTGCAGACAAAAAGGTTATGAAGAGGAAGAAGAGGAGTCTGATGGATATAAGGTATTTAGAAGCTCATCAACATTGTTCAAAACAATGTCAGCCTCCTCCTCCAGAAATTTCTGGTTGCCAGCCCCACTAAGGACACCTATTGTTAGACCCAACCCTGCAGAACGACCCATTGTGGTGTCGGCGACAGTGTCACCAATAATGACGGTTTGTGTTGGGCAAACATTCAACTCTTCACAAATGCCCAACGCAGTTTCAGGATGGGGTTTTGGTTTGGTGTCTGTGTCATCCCCACAAACTATTTTGTCAATCATGCTCATGAGGCCTAACCTGTCAAGAGCTGACAGAGTGCCTTCTCTGCTGTCAGTTGTGCAGATTGCTGTCTTAACACCCTTTGCCCTCAGGGTTTCAAAAATTGCCGGGAGGTCACCCAAAGGCTCCAGGGTATCATGCCCACCACTGTCAAAATCTTTGCAGCAGTTGCTAACCAGCCTCTGCGCTGTTGCTCTATCTATACCACTCTTGACTAACACTGTTACAAAAGCTTGTCTGATTTCAGCTACAGTTGCATGAGCAAGCAGGCCTCCATCAGAATAGGTACAGTTCTTGGGACAATATCCCACTTCTTTGTACATTTTGTCAGCCAAATCAAGACCAGTTGCTTCTTCAAGCTCACGTACATGACTCTCCATCCAAGGAATCCACACAGTATTTACATCTATCAAAGTACCATCTTTGTCGAATATCACAAGGGAAGGGTCCATGGAGTCTGGGAAAGATGATCCACTGCTTTGGCCATCACCAGCAAGGGATGAAAAACCTGCTGCAGAACAGCCACTGTGCCGAGGGAGTTGAGGTCTAGCCCAGGGGGCATTTCCTACAGGAGCCAAGTGATATTAGCAACACAAAAGGGGGGAGGGAGGAGAGACAACGACTAGCAAATCCGACAAGTTAATCAAATCTAGGTAAATGCAGGCTCTGTGGCCATTTCTTGAAGATTCTTGAGAGATTGGGGATTTCTTTTCATGTAGTAAAGTGGCTAAATTGCTTCTATAAAAATGACCCATAATTTGCTTACAGGTAGAGACATCTATATTTATACAGGATAGCCCCTTCAGTGTAGTAAACACTGCTATCAACAGGGGTCCTGTTACCCACTCATCCCACCCCAGGGGATCACATCCATCACACAGTAATCTCGTGCGTGGGAAATTAACGTCTCCTACCCCTAACCCTGCAGGAGACGGGACCTCCATTTATTCGTCCCTATCCGAGAAGACTAGAATATCTAATCATTTCTTGATGTTATAGAAAGGTAGCATATTCTTCTCAATTATTTTAAGACCCTGAGTGTTGGTCCAGCCGGGGCTCGAACCCTCAACCTCCGCACAATAGTCCAGCGCTCTATCCATTGAGCTAACCAGGAGGCTGTACAACACTTCAAAAAACATTATTTGTTAAAAAGAAACTGACCAAAGTATGGGCTGTTTTCAAGCCAACCTTTGCCTAACTTTCAATCATATTTGACCAATTCTCACTCTTTCTATTCTTAAATAGTAAAAATGACAAAACAAAAGATCTGGTAGCTTTTTATAAGAAAAAAAAAAAAGCCATAGTAAGGCCCTCTTTCAATAACAGGAAAGTTGCACCAAAGGTAGAGAGAAATCATGAAAATAATGAAAGACACTTTTGAAGGTTCTCGAAATTCTAAAAACCAGGACATAGCTTGCTATCGTCCAAAAAAAAATCATGCCACTACCAATTGAGAATGTTGCAGTTCTCATAATTAATGTAATCCTTTGGATACCTGTTTTTCTAGGACCTTGGTTCCAAAGGTCTTTGTCAGTAAATGCCTTTTTCACTGCTGATGTTCTAATGGTTTGTTCTGCAGCGGCTGGAGGCCCGTAAAGCTTGTTGTAATCATACCCATCAGCACTTCGCCTGTTGACAAATACATGTCAGCACCGTATAACATCAGGCCTCTGACAAGCAAAGCTTGTAGACCTCTGTACACAAGTAATGCACACTCAAGCCTTAATATAACAACCTCACTAACTGTAGAATACAATTTAGAAACACTACAGACCAAAAACTTTCCTACATAATTTTCTGTTGTCACTTTTGAGAAACTGTGACATTAAAATGCCAAAGTCAATTCCCATGGAGTGAACTACTCAAGAGAGACAACAACACACTTTAGAACAAGCATCAATTTTCATTTTAGGAAGGTACATTGAATTCTATTTCCTAAATACATAAATATCTTTTTATTTTCAAGAGAGGTGGTTATATTTAAGACCAATCACAGTCAAACTTACCTGATAATTCAAAATTATTCAACAGATTTCAAAATTCATTTTGTACCAGAGGTTAGATTATTACAATTCATACTTTGAAAAACCAAGTTAAAATAGCCATAAAAACCATATGACAAAGAATGTCACACAGTTAACACTACAACCCCAGTTACTGCTACAACTTCTTAATGGCTTCATTTTAAGGCTATATATTCCAAAAATTTTTTGTGAAATAATATTAAATATTGACATGGCCCAGAAACAGCGTTGCATCAAACAAGACACAGACACAAACCCCAAAAAACAAAAAGCAAAACAAAGAAAAATTTGTTTAAGAATCTGCCATTTCTGTTTATCTGTGGGAATCATTTTTATTCCATCCAAATGAAATAGTGATTTGAATTTCTTCTCAAATGCAGGAAAAAAAGAAAAGAAAAATATTCCTTGAAATTCAGGTGGCTAATACCACTTGCTATCCGTGCTTTATAAAGTACAACTGATGCCCAAAATTAGTACAAATATCTTGCAGTATTTGTACTCCAGAGAACCAGTTAACAGGTTTTCTCAGTGCACAAGTGACAAATTGGATTGATGTTATGAAAAAAATGGCAGACAATTCAAATTATTTTTCTGAGTACAAAGAGTTGGGATGGCTGGCAAATATTGACCCAAGTGCGTAAGATAACTCAAACAAAGAAAAGCAGTAGACTACAATGAAATTTCTGTACCAATTGTTCTGTTTCGTACACTTCTGTCATGCCCTCTCCTTAAATAAATAGCTGTGAAATTTGCCTGCACTGAAATAACAATCTGGCCAGTTGGATAATAAATCTCTAATTAAACGTCATGTTGTGTAGTATCAATGAGTATTTTTACTAGTTGTTTGTATTTTGACTTGCCCTAGGGGCTCATCAAAATAAGGCACAACTTGTAAAAATACTCAGTGATACTGCACAAAACGTTTAATAAGATATATCCATCTGTATACTGCCAAAGTTCTTTTTCTCATTCTAATCAGTCTTTCGCTTCTGTGAGAACAGGCAGAACAGATCCGCAAACTATGCTTCACAAATCAAAATATCCTATGACAATTCTTGTTGAGTTTCATGTCATAGGCCAATCTTAAGTCTAACAATTCTCAGACAAGATTTAAAATTCTTTTCTGTTCGAGATTTACAATATCAAGTTTCTTTTACTCATCACAAAAAAAAAAAAACCAAAAAACAAAAAAAACAAAAAAAACAAATAAAAAACAAAAAACAAAAAAAATTTGTACTTTAAAAGGAATTTGTATGCCCAGAACAACTTTAGACATTTGTGCCAGTTGTCTGGGCTTACAGAGAACACTGATTTTCTCCACTGAGGATCTTGACCAGGAAGGAATTGAAACATACCTTGGTTTACCTAGGATAAAGTTCCAAAGTGAAAACCTTTGTGAGAAAATGTAATCACCCATACCAATAATTTAAACAGAGTCAAGAAGAAATTCAGTCAGGGTTACAATCTGCATTATAGCCAATCACTTACTTTAGCTTAGAGTTATTTCAGAGCTTGGCCAGTTTTACATTAAGATAAATGTCAGTACACAAGAAGGAAAAAAATTGTCAGAATTTGTCATCAAAGTCACTGCAAGTAGTTGAATCCAATTTTGTTACATTGTGAAAAGATGTTTGAAATTAAATAAGTAATAGACCAAGATTATTATCTTCATTACTTGTCACTAATATTCAATGAACAAAAATTAAGCTGGGTGGGGTTTAAACTTGATCAAATTTCTACCACTGGATAATTTCAAGGTAATCAGTCCTTAAAATGTAAACTCTTCCTCTCTCTTTTTCATTTGAAAAGGACACCCTGAGTTAATTGCACCAAGAAAAAAGAGAAAGAAAATTCAAACAAGACCATGTTGTCACACTGATCATTCAAAGCACAATCCTGCTAACTTCTACTCTGTGGTAGCCTTGTTGTACCCCTTTACACTGACCCTGAGAAGTGGAATAATTAAGGACAAACACTACTTGATGACTGTACATTGTGAAACAAGTTAGAATGACACACCAGCTTTGACTTACTGAAAAGGTTGTGACACAAGAACAACACGTCCTTCTTTGTCTAAACCAAATCCAAGTCTTTCATTCCAAACAGCAAGAGCTGATACACCTGCAATATGGAAGGACCACAATGTTCACATCACCTGGAAAGATTCACATTTACCACATGTGTAATTAATTTGTGGTTTGAATGTAAAACAGGAGGATTAGCAGGTAACTGACCTAAATTTGCTCTTTATAACAAATGTTTCCTCTGTATTTAAACTTTCAAAATTTTAACATTCCATGACTTTTCCAGTGCTAAGTATGTGAAATGATGTATTACTATGTATTTACTGGTGTATTACTTGTTTAGCTGTTTATAGAAAATCATACTCTATCTATCAAGACTTCACGTGAACCATAATCAAATTTAATGTCTTGCCACACTTAAATCCTATTCTTACCTTGAAAGGATGTTTGACTTTTAAAATGGGCCTGTCTTATACAACTTCTTTGAAGCAGCCCAAAGACTTTCTTTGCATGTCCACTTAATGCCATTTTATATCAGAGAATGCTGTAAACCACAATAAAAAATTAACTATGAAATAAAAATTTTAAAAGATCATTTTTTACACATTGACACCCGAACCTCGCGATTGCCTCGTGTGAGAACGCTTTCCCCCCTACCAAGTGGAGTTTTGTCCCCAAACTTTCCACTATAGTTTGGAGATCAATAAGCGAATCAGAATCCGTCGTTTGCACAATATTTTGTTGGCTTTAGGGGGTACTAGAGGGGCATTATTCTATGCGTCTTCACTAAAGGATCAAATTTGAAAATATGGCGTCTACGTGGCCGACCCTCAAAATTTTCAGGTCAGATTTTTCGTTCATTTGCGATCAAGTTAGACCTTGTGGAACTCAGAATGTAAAGTAACAATGCTATAGAATACTCTGCTTGGAAAAGAATGGATATCAAGGTCTTAAAAGGTGACAGAATAAGCTCTTGAGTCAACGACACCATGAGTCTCAAAGGCAATGCTAATTATGGACGTAAAGTGAAAACTTAACTTTCGGACTTCAAGCAGGGCCTAGCGACAATTTGATGATTCAGTGGTCCGGTAAATATTATGTTCGAGTAACAATGTGTTCAAAAAGTATTGTTTAATAGAAGACTTTGCCTCAAATCGAAGTTTTTTTCAGAATTTTCAACATAACGCTGTGCAATTTCTAGCCATGACGGTAAGTAAACAACGATATAAGCATGATGAATTTTACCACGTGGGCTTTGTACATGTAAGAAATTCGTACATTTTTCGCTTATAACAGCAAATTAAAAACTGTTTGAATAAATCTGACGTCCCGAAATAATTCTTGGCTATTTAGTCTTGCTTCCAATTGATAGATTCCATGGAACTTGAGATCTCTTCACTCATGGACAAATTTGCATATTCCCTTTTGAAATATGATCCACATGCCCATTTTCACACATGCGAAAATATTTAGCGATTTTTATCTTTCATCTTAATGTTTGAGTTAAAACGTAATATGCACCTATTGCTTTTTTCGCCGAAAATAAGTTCTTTAAGTAGTCTTCTTTCACTGGAGTTTGTTTTCTGGAAAAGATGATTTTTAAAAGTTTACTGCGCATTGTTTGCCTTCTTGGTTTCTCCAAAATTTTGACTTTTCGTAGGCACGTGTTACACGTAAGTTTAAAAGGGTTAATAACAATCAATGAAATAATGGAGATATTGCAGTTGTCTTTTTCACTAAAACACACATGATCAACAACAAAATGTTGAAATGGTAAATTGGCCACTGTAACGATTACTAAAGCTGACATTTTGAGCGTTGGCCCTTCGCCGGAGCGAATAGAGGAATTGTGGGTTATGTGTGCTTTTAAAGGCAGAAAACGACCTTTAAAAGCACACACAACCCACAATTCCTCTCTTCGCTCTGACGAAGGGCCAACGCTCAAAACGTCAGCTTTTGTAATCGTTATGGTGGCCAATTTACTATTTCAACTTTGTTGATATATCCAAATTATTTCGTTACCCCCACCGACGCAGCCCCTAACAGTTTCTTTAGAAACTATCAACCTTTAACAAAATGTTGATACTGCGATTCTTTACACACCTCAAAATATCAATTACTCAGTTTTCACTTTGCAATAATAGAGGTCTCATCTCACTTTCAAAATAATAATAATAACAAAAACACTGTGCTGGTACTGGTCTAATGGAGAGTGGTAACAGCATATCATATCATAAATTATGGCTATGTCAACTACAACTGATATTGTATTGATATTCTTCCTGTTTATGCACTTTGACTTCTATCCATGACAATTAATTCTCTGACATCATAGAACAATAAAAAGGCATATTTCTTCATGGTTCTGATTAACAAGTAACCCTGTGCAAGGACCGAAAAAAATCACCGGACTCTGACACTGGAGTATTTCTCCCACTTTCCAGACTAAATGATACGCCCACCTTTCCAATTTTTTTCTGTTTTTTTGTTTTTCTTTCTTCTTTTTTTCCCCCTTTAACCAAATCCTTCCTCCACAAGCGAACCGGTTCCGGTCATAAGCATATTTAGAATGTCAGAAAATTACCGGTGGGACTGCATAACATTTTCACGGACAAATAATGACCCAGAATATTACGCCTCAAGGTTATCTAAACATCTTTGTCAATTACGAAACCACGAAATAAAGAAATATATGAAATTCTTACCGGTTGTGAATCTGGGCGGATAATTTATTAGGCGAAAGTACAAGCGATATTACAATTTAAAATATTCAACCCGCAAAGGGGCTGATAATAAGTCGTTTACAAATGTGTTAGTCGGCAAAATGACATTCTTCGACTCGAGGAAAAATATACTTTGTTGAGCGAAAATTTGGCTTTCGCTTCCTCGCCAAGCTTTGGATGGCAAAGATTAAAATCTTATTTATGAATGAATGACTTCCAGGTAACAGAGCAACAACGAAGGCCTAAATTTTACAGTGTCAATTTCCTTTCGAAGTAACCAAAAAATTATTAAGATCCAGGGAAAACGGCAGCCATCGCGAAGTTTGTTTGTTTTTTTTTCTTTTTTTCAACCGGGAAGTCAAACAGCAGAAAGATCAACAATTTTAAAAGTAAACTGGGCTTTATCCAGTCCAGGGTAACATAAAGCGCGGCGGACCGAACCGGCTAAAGACCACTTCTAAATGTTCGACTAAATTCCGAATTTTACCTAATAAACATTGTAGAAAGTGAAGATGTAATTCAACTGACATTACCTTGAATATAACCTCTCAAGGAAAGAACGGGGACCGCCTAAAAGCGCTCTTTCTTATATCCTGCCACTAAGGAAATAGTCACTCTACTTTCCGCCATGAAAGTATTGCAAAACGAAAGCAGCGCTGTTATTTATAATAAGAGATAGTCACGTGTTCTATTTCGTCACAAAAACTGGTTCATCCCGTTTTTGAGGGAAACTACGCCACTAATTATGGAAATCGAGCGGTCGCGTAATATCACTTTCACGTGCTTCCGGTGTGAGCTGCACTATGCTGTGTAACGCAATACTTCAGTAACAGCTACAGCATTTCAATCGGCGGTCTTTCATTTGGCACCGATTCTGTCTTTCATTTATAAGTTCAAAGAAAGTTGGCTTGCCTTTAATTGACAATGCCCATGCTGACAATCGCATATCTCTACTGCGAGGATCGTGCATCATACGTAATCGCATATCGTGGAACGTTGATGAAGCAGTAATTACGCGGAACCCTCTGTGTTACGCCCAGCGGCTTTTCTGGCCTTTCAAGTTTAGTTCTTCTTTCTCCGTTTTATTCTCCGACTTTAAAAGCATTCCATCGTGAAAATAGGTGCTCAGTATGATCTGTAAAGACACAGGGTTGCCATCGGTTCGCCACGAGGTCTCCAGTTTCGTCTGCTTTATAATATGGCGCTCATTGCATATTAAATAATTTTCTCTTACTGAAAGGTGTAAGTCTTTATTTGTTAGAGCAGGTCAGTGGGGGCAGCTAAACAGCTGATGTGGACCTGCTATTAATTAAAATACATATACAAAATAATACTGTACACAGTTAAAATTCTAAAGTTGTCTAAGTCCTTGTTTGAATTTGTAACAGTTCCGCGAATGAAGGTAACTTTCCGCTACTGGTTTTTGTTACGTTTCAGTGCTATTTTAAATTCCTGAACTTTTTCTATGCATCTAGAAGTTCTGTTAATTGAGTTCCAAATTATCGGGCCCCTAAAATACAGACTCTTCCTCCCTAGATGTGTGCTGTGACCTCAAACATGTGTTAGAGCGCGTGACAAGGATCTGTCTTATGGAAAGGCAAAGACGAGAGAGTGGGTTAAACCCATTTATTATATATTCTCGGAAACAGAAAAACAATTTTGTGCAATTTGGGATCAGTTTTGTTTTCATTTGATTATAAACGTGACAGTTCCGGTTTGGAGACATTATTTATTCGACGTTAGGGCCTAGAATCGCTTTTGACCTTCGTCTGATCGACTCAGTGAAAGGAAGTTTATGAAAGTTTGGACCGCTGTTTAATGTTCAAAGGATAACTTTGACGTAAGAGTTACTTTCAAAATTGCTGTTCTCATTTTAAACTGACCACAAGAAATTCCAAGCGTGCAAAAGTTCCCGTGAATCTTGCGCTGTCGGCTAACAAAATTAAACCTGGAAAGGAATAAGGAAGAAGAAGATTCGCCTCGACTCCCAATTATGTTTCGCTTTCGTCCGGTCGTTCAAAGATAAGCAACACCTGGATTATGCCACGGAGACTATGATCCTGTATCAGGCAAATTGTGGAAACATTAAGATGCGCTACCAACAGATTTCAGGCCAACCATCATTTATTTACAGGCCTTAGAAATAAAGTTAATCTGTAGGTCGACTTTCCTTATAAGCTTTGCACTTCCTGTGTATGTTACAAACTGTGTTGATGTCACAGTTATCCTTGATATGCGAATAAAACGATAGAAACTGTGCAAGACTGCAATACATTTTTCCTTCACAGGCCGGCATTGCGACGGCCGCTTCGTTCACTAGAAGCTGTATCTTTATATGAGATTCCTGAAATGTCCCTCCGAATCCATTCTTGTCATTGCTTGAGGACTGTTGACATTGGCCAACGCAATCACTCTTTTCGTCCGTATCTCTTTTCGCACCGTCGTGCTTACAATTATAAAATACAAAGGCAACGTTTGCCGACATGGGTACTACATCTGAAATGCGAAATGCTCGGTTGGCTTGTTCGTTAAAATTATCCGCTCGGGGTGGTACTGAGTCATTGTAGAGTCCAAGCATGGTGAGAAGAGGGATCACAGTTCCCGTATGTGCAAATCGGAAAATACCGTGAGGTTTCCCTTTCTTGAGAAATCTTTCGAAGCTATCCGTAATCTCCGCAAAGAGTGGACAAGCCATTTTGTAGTTAATCTTACGCCCGTAGCTTCGGTCCCAGTAAAGTTTCAAGTCGTTCAGGTACTCCAAAACTTTAAATTCTTCGTCCTTAAACACTGAGCACCAACTGCTATCAGCGCTGTCGGTCTGAACCCCAAATGCGCACATCAAAAATATTTCTACGACATCTTCAGGACGAAGAGAATACTTTCCACTAAGTCGCAACCTTCTGGTGATTTTACGCACAACTTTTCGCATTTCTGGACCATTCATAAATTTCCGGTGTTCCGACTGAGATCTTTTACTCGCTGTAATCTTCTGCCATCTAGGACAAGCTTCAAAAATTCGCAGAACAGTGTCATGGTTGTAAGAACCTGAAAACTTCACCGCTACCGGACTAAATTTTACGCTGCCCAAGTGCCCTTTTCCCTCGAAAAGGCCTTGAGCGAAAGCTATCGCACTCTGACTTGATCGCAATTTGTCGGTGGCGATAAAGCTGTAGTTAGTATTCGAGTAACTGTGTTTTAAGATACCGCGGAACTTAGAAAGGAAACGTTTTGCTATAGAATACATCTCTTCTGTCCCAAGTTCGGACATCTCTTTGCTGGCTGAGTTTAGGACATCGGGCGGGAAACTCCAAGGAAGTGACAGGCCTTTGTAGTGAAAGGTAGAATTATTAGGGAAAAATCGATTTATATTTTCAAGTAGTCTTTTCGCATTTTTGATTCGAGAGCTACCAGGGTATCTCGAGCCATGACGAATTACCATGTTGATGTGTGCTGGTTCGCAGTTTGGAGGCCTTTCGATGGGTTTGCTGCCAGAATGATACGGCGTTTTGTCACTGAAAAAATACTTTTTGAGTGGTGCGTCTAACGCCGAGCCATGCTGTATACATGATATGAGGAGGAGGGAAAAAATCACCCTAAAAAAGACCTCGACAGATAGAGTTGCCATCGCTTCCCTTGTGATGATGCCGGCACTGACTTAGAGGAATTTATGTGCGTGCTGCCTTCATCTTTCGAGGATCAAGTTTATCTTTCATCATATGACTGGCTATTGAATTTCGAGATGTTAAAATTTGACTGAGTGTAGTTGCGTGACCCAAAATTTGGAATCCAAACGATCCGATACGTAAGAAACATGGATTACTAACTCTCTGAACTCATTGTAAGCCGAGTAAATTTATTCACACCTTCTTCCACGGGAAATAGAAGACCGGTACTCAGCGCTTTATAATCCATGGAGCCTGGTATTTCCGGTTTTCGCTGTCATACAATAATCAAAACTATGCAACAAATAAAGTCAAGAATCCAAGAGATAAAAGAAGATGGATATTAAAACAGTCTCGCAAAGATTCAGGTCTGTGTGATAATTCGAAGGAATATAGTACTCAAATTTATAGCGATGGAGACGCCGTGTTTGTGTCCCTGTGAGGGGAACAAGTATGGCGGCCGGAAGCTAACGAAGACACATGCCATCAAGTTTGGCTATAAAAAACTTGTAGTCTTCTTCTGAGGGCTCATAAACAACGATAAATATCTATACAAGTAATTATTCTCATACAAGATTACGAAATCTTAGCGGATAAGTCACTTTTTTAACCTATGTGACAACATTTTGATATCGTGTCAGGCAAAAACTTAGAAATTCAACCTTGCTTGATCCCAAAATGAAAACGCTGAAAATTTGTAAATTGATATGATAACTATTCGGCTGTTATAATAACTACCTTAGCTAAAATCTCAAAAGAATCCTGCGGTGTAACTGTAACTTACAACCGCTTGGCCGTGGAAGATCTGAGCACAACACTAGGTCGTGGGTGTAGGTTATTACTTTTTTCCCTCCTATAAAACTAATCAGTAGAGCAAAATTAAATACGAAGACAGAGGTTAAATGTAACGTTGTCTTTTCGTTTGCTCCTCCCATCTTTGTCTATCTGGGAGGACATTTGTTTCGTTATTTTTGCGACTTTTGCGGGTTACTGAAGAGACTGGAACCGAAACTTGTGATCACACAGCGTCCGAATACTGAAAAATGGCGGCAGACAGTACCCCAATGAACATGGATAACGAAAGCGATTCTGCAAGATATGGAGAAGATATCTCGCCGGAGAAAGATGGTGGAGTGCGAAAGATTATAAAGGTAGCAGGTGGAGGTGGGGAAAAGCCACCGATCGGAAGTAAAGTTCGAGTTCATTATTCCGGTAAATTTATGACAGGCGAAGAGTTTGACTCCAACATCGGTAAAAAAGATCCATTTGAGTTTGAACATGGAAAAGGTATGATTAGCCTTTGTTTTACGAGTATAAAGAAGGGAAAATAGTGGAAATTTGATGTGATGTTCGTAAATTTGCAGAATGAGACTGTTATGTTTTGTTTTTTAGTACGACCGTTGACATGTTTGGATGGTAAAATATAAATAAGTTGATATTATATCTGCTTGCTTATGTCAAGTGGAATTAAACACATTAGTTTTTGCTGGATATGATGTAAGAGAAACCTTCCCTGCAATAATTTGCTTAATTTTACATGTCAGGAAGACCAGAAACTGCATGCACTTAGCTAAAAATTCTCACAACGATTACAGGTTAAACTATGATTATGAATCTGCCTTTATTTCCATTCACTTTCATTTCCTGATCTGAGATGGATAACATCTGTCAGTGAGTGTTAAATTAGAAATGTCAAAAACTTGAGCTTTTATTCAGATGGAATTGGGTTTTGAACTGTCAGCAAGATTTCCTTCAGTTTCTCTGCTGGAAAAATGAGTTTTAATGAAGAAAGGTAATGAATCTGTTCATATGACCTAAAAAATAAATTCAGTGATATTTGTCACATTATGTAAAGGTTATTTTTAAATCGAGAGTGTAGTGTAGGTGAATACTCACTCCTAAAGATCTAAATACCCTAAATACCCATTTTGTGATTTTTCTGTTGGGGGTTATAGCCTGAGCACTGAGAATTGGGTTTTGAATGAAATAATTTTGAATTAATGTGTGAGATGTGAGTAGTCCAGTGGTCAGTGTGCTGGACTCTGGGTCAGTTGGCCCGAGTTCAAGTCCTGGCTGGGGCTTGACGTTGTGTCCTTAAGCAAGACGCTTCACTCACATTACTTCGTCTTCTCGGATAGGACGTAAAGCCAGAGGTCCCGTCTCCTGCACCTATCAATTAGTTAATTTCGGCAGGGGACATTAAAGAACCCACATCACAAGATTACTGTGATGTGGTCTGGCCTGTTTACTGGGAATGGGGGGAGGGGGCAGCTGTAAAATTTCTCCTTTATTAATTATAAACTGCCGCCGGCAGTCTGGAAAAGTCCCCCGCACAGTGTTGTAAAGCGCATGAGAGCATTTTACATGGAAATGCGCTATAGAAATCGATCTATTTAATCGATCTATATTATAATGTTATTAATTTTTCCTCTCACTTAGTGCTTGAAAAGTTTATAGAGAGAGACCTTTTTGGGTTACTCCTGGTAATGAGATGGGTGAAGTTCAATTTTTTGTTTCTTCCTTCACCTGAAAAGCTATTCACTGGAGAAGTTCATGCCACCAAAAGAAGGACACCAACTCATGAAAAACCATTTTTGCCCTTCAGGAGTTGTAATCAGGGGATGGGATATTGCTATAGCAACAATGGAAGTCAATGAGACCAGCCTATTTACTATCAAACCAGAGTATGCTTACGGGACTGAAGGAAGTGGAAACAAGATTCCCCCCAATGCTTGTCTACAGTTTGAGATTACTTTGGTTGAATGGAAAGGAGAAGATATCACAAAAGATGGACATGTTACGAAGATTACGTTAGAGAAAGGCGAAGGCTATGTCTGTCCTAACACTGGTGCCCTCTGCGAAGGTTAGGATTTATAATAGGAGGCTTAAGGTCAATTTTTAAATCACATAATTGTAACTTTCACCATTTCATTCACTGCCATACATTTCTTTTAATTTCAGTCAGGAGAATTTGATGTCTGAGAAAAACCATATCCCCTTGTTGATGTTCCACACTATGCAGAGCTCTTAAGTCTCATGCAATGAGCATAAGACTCATGCAAACTAAATCAATCTTCCACTCTCATGCTGAAACTAACATTTTTTTTACACACTTAAGATTTCAGATTTAAACTGTTCATTTTGAGTTAGCAGACTGCTGCCAATTAACCTTCCAAATATAATTTACACCATGTTCCCTTGGCACTTGCTTCAACTCTCTCCAATGTTGGAAATTCCCACTCAGGGTAAAGGAATGTTCTTCGTAGTGGTTTCATTTTTGAACAATTTTTGTGGGGAGCATGCTCTTATGCTCCCCCAGGCAAGTGATGCCCGTAGCATCTGATTCTCTGCCAGAACTTGAGAGCTCTGTCCATGGAATAATTTGTGGATGCTGTTTGGGAAAATTAATTTTTGGTCATTTTTTGGAAAGATAAAGATAAAGACAACTGTTTTACATCTTTGTGATAGGGCACAACATATCCTTCCCTCAATGTTAGTTCAAAATGGCATTCAAGGTGAATTATCAAGGATTTGCTTAGGACCAGAAAAAAACCTACAATATGCATGCTCAGTTTGAGTCACAGCCAGGGAATGGGAGTTTCTTCAATCAAAGGGCTCTATTGTATTTGATACTCTAGAAGAACCACAACTAAAAACAATTAAGAACTGTTCATATGTATCTAGGCTCAGTTTAAAAATGAAGCTGCTGGTGCATGTTTTCTTGTTGCAGAGAATCTCATTACTGATTTATTTTTCTTTACCCCGGCCTATAGTTCATATTGTTGGGAAATGTCAGGGCAGAGTGTTTGAAGATCGTGAAGTTTCCTTTCTCATGCAAGAAGGTAAATTGCATGTACAAGCTGAGACATTTTATGTGTGTGGTCTGAAGTTTAAGTGACAAAGACATAAAGAACCAAAATTCTCATCACTTTATGGGGCATTGTGGCACATTTTGTGGGCTGAAACGGAAACTTTGGTGGGCTGAAATGTAATATCATCTGCGTGCTCGCTTGCATGATTGTTCTGACGTTTTCCTTGTCTTCTTTTTCAGTTTTTATTTTTCTCAAAGTTCTCCAAAGTGATGATAACAATAATACATTTAATGTTCTTGTGTCTAAAAATGCTTTGGGCACTTTTCAGAGTCATTTTAACCCTCACCCAGCAGCTTGGGCTAAAATAACTCTGAGTTGGGCTTAAGGCATATTTATGCCCATAAACAAAAACTGTATTGTTTAATTAACACTCAGTCTCTTAGATAGATAGAGATAGGTAGATACTTTATTGGTAAATACTTCGCAGCATGAACTGAATTGCGTATTCACAGATATAAAATAAAAAAATTACTATGTACATGTATACATCTTATTATTAAAAAATACGTAGTTGGTCATAAGGGGGAACTTGCACATTATTTGTGGCTGTTGACTATTCTGGCTGAAGCAATAAAAAAAATGTTTTTGAGTCTATTTGTCTTGCAAAGTGGCAAGACAAATACAAACAATGTTAGCAACAATATTAGTAACTACCAATGTTTTTTTTTATCTAGGTACAGAGGAAGGACTTCTCCCTGGTGTCCAACAGGCCATTCTGAAAATGAACGATGATGAAAAAGCACATGTGTGGATTAAGCCTGGAAGGTGGGGATTTGGAATGGCAGGGAATCCAGATCTGGGTATTCCCAAGGATGCTGTGATAGAGTATGTGATACATCTCAAGAAATTTGAAAATGTAAGTACATATATCAATACATGTGTACTTACTAAATACACTCTTAGCTTCCTAAAAGATATTTCTGTGATGGGTTTTTTCAAGCAAATGATACACCAGATCTCATGCAATTTAGTGTAAATAAGCACTTTAGGTTTTTCTAAGAGTACAAATAGTACAGGCACCAAGGACTCGTGTAATTTTGTTGTCTTTGAAAAATTTACAAGTGCTTATTAACACCTAATTGCATTTAAAACCATGTTATTAACTATACTTCTTTTGAAGGTCAAAGAAAATTGGGAGTTGAGCAATGAAGAAAAACTCTCAACAGCCTTGTCACTTAAGGAAAAGGGCACAAGATATTTCAAGGTTAGTGTTACTAATGTATAGACTAGTATATATAGCTTATTAACCAAGCGCGAGGGCTGTACAGGGAGAATATCAGTCTGATGTCTTGACAGTACGGACCGGGCGCAGCGAGGTCCGTACAAAAAAGACCGAGGGCCGATATTCTTCCAGTACGGTCCCGAGCAAGCTTGGTTAATAAGAGATTTATTATACGCCTTAAGTTCAAAGGGACACACGTGCGATATCATTCGGGACCATTTGGGACAGTGCCCGGTCCAATACTGAGAGAATATTGACCGGCAATAGAGCATTTTGATTGGTTGATTTTAGTTATTGGCCCTCTGACTGCCCGAGTCGTGTAATAATAGAATATATTTTACAAGATGAATCAACCTACAGCTGCAGTTATTTATTGTCTGACCCTTTCCACCCAAATATCAGCGTTCATATTCTCCATACTGTTCTCTGTACATGTTTTAAGGTAAGGGCAAGGAGAATTTGTATTGCAATCAAGAGCTTCTTTAGTCAGGATCATTTCCTTTATTCTAACTGCCTCCCCGTTAGCTCAATGGATAGAGCACTGGACTGTTGTGCAGGTGGTCGAGGGTTCAAGCCCCGGCCGGATCAACACTCAAGGTCTGAAAATAACTGAGAAGAATATGCTACCTTTCTATAACATCAATAAATGGTTTAGATATTCTAGTCTTCTCCGGATAGGGACGAATATTTGGAGGTCCCATCTCCTACAGGGTTAGGGGTAGGAGACTTTAATTTCCCACACACGAGATTACTGTGTGATGGATGTCCTCCCCTGGGGTGGGATTTCGTGGGTGGTCTACTTGCATGGTTTGCATATGTTCCGTTCTAGTCCTACCCTACTGCGGTAATACAGTGAAAATGGTTAGGAACAAATCTTGTGACCTTGTATTTGTGATTCAGGGGTGATGTTGGTGGGAGAATTTTGATTCTAGTCACCCTCAAGGGTCAGTTGGTTAAACAGTCTGACCCCCTCCAACTGTTTTGCAACTCCATGCGAAGGAGAAAAGCACTAGCTTCAAACTGAATGTAAAATGTTTTGATCCATTTGTTTCTCAGGAGGAGAAATTTGGTATAGCAGCTGAGCAATATGCCAGAGCAGTGAGGATGTTGGATGGCTACTTTAGCAATGAGGAAAAAGAGAAACGAGATCCCTTGCTGTTGGCTGGCCATCTTAATCTTGCCGCATGTCATTTGAAATTAAATCACAATTTCAAATGCATTAAAGAATGTGACAAGGTAAAATGCCTTTCTCAGTTAAGATGCTGGGAAAGTTTCCATTACGTTGTTCTATACTAAAGCACAGTCTGTTTCTTGGTCAAAATGAAAAACACAAAATCACGGAAGAACTGTCACGTGGGGATCCAGAAATGTTTTTTTATCTAGGGGTGGGTCTAAACTTTGATTCGGAAAACAGATAAATTTCTTTTTTACATGCTTATTTAAGCTGAGAAATATTTCAGGATAAAAAACTTTTTAATTGCTTGAAATTCTGTAGCTATATGTGATTCTGTTGTGCAAAGAATTATGGTTTCAGACAAGTAGTGAAGAAACAAACCCACAGGTCTTATGTGGGGGGTGGGTCCACATCTTTGCCGTTGACTGTGCAACTCTCCACTGTAAAACTCAAGATTTGCTTGGCAGTTGGAGTCATTGAGTTTCTTTCCACTTTTAAGTTCTGAGGTTTGAACAGAGAACGAAGAAAATTATTTTCAAACAACATTTCTGTTAACTCAAAAAAAAAAAAAAACAAAAACAAAAGAATAATCTGTAGAATATAACTCCTGCTGAATACTTATGTCTGTCTTCTCTCCCGGTTAGATCCTTACAAACTTTTGTGTTTCTTGGGGGTTTCGTTTCTTGTCAAAGTTTATTTTTTAGACAAGGAAGGGTGCATGGGACTAAAATCTTTAAGTAGATCGAGAATGCCAGATTTTCCTTCCAAATCGTTGGGTCATTCCATTGTGAAGCAAAGAGAGTTTGGCTTGTATCAAACGTCTTGCGCCCATTTAATTGGCAAGAAGATGATCATTGTCACCATGGTTTAACTCAAAGGTACTTTTTTTTCGTGTTTATCGCTCCACAGGCTCTTGAAGTTGAGAAAGATAATGTAAAGGCCTTGTTCAGAAGAGGAAAAGTAAGTACAAGTTTGTAGATATTAGATGTTTTTATATCTCTTGTATGGGTGCGAGATGAAAAAACCCACTTTACTCAGTTCTGTGATTGGTCCAGAAAACTCGCGTCAGTCTCTCAACCAATCAGATGCAAGACTTAACCCAATGGCGCCTTCGTCACATACGTTTTCCCGCGCTTTACGCAGTTTACCGGTACTCGTTTTCCCGCGCTTTACGCAGTTTACTCGTTTTTACTCTGCTATCTCATTGGCTCCTTGTTATATTTCCCTTGTATGGAGCGCTATATCCTTCATGTATGTAAATGATGACGTTAATTTATTTCATGAGAATTTGTATGGTAGTGTGGAAGTAACCTTACTATGTATTATCACTTTTTTTTCGACAGGCGAGAGCCGCCATCAATGATTTAGATCTGGCAAAAAAAGACTTTGAACTTGTGCTTAAAGTCCAGCCCGGCAACAGAGAAGCACAACAACAGTTAAACGCAGTAAATTCCAGAATTAAACATCATGTGGCCAAGGAGAGAATTATTTTCGGTAAGTTTTTACCAGGAGCTACTTGTCTGCTACGCGAAAATTTTATGCCCGTAGTCAGGTCCTTCACTGATTTACCCAGGTCTGTCAATGAGTTGAAAAGTAGCGAGAAAAAAAGAAATACTAGACAGCCAGGTTCACGTGTTAGCCATGTTGTTTCATCAGATGACAACATTAAACACAGAATTGAAGCTATTCAGTTAAAATGGTCAGGCGTTTCATGAAGTTCGCAATCTTTAGATCAAATTCTGAACTTGGAATCGACCCTTATGTCCAAACCTGTGAGTGGTAAATTAAGCATAACTGAACGAATTTTTCAAGAACAATTTTGGTAAAATGAGGCCAAAGTAACCGGCTTTAGATGGCAAACTAACAGGCTGTACTGGCCCTCTCCCGGCTCTTTTTCACAGTCCCTGTGGTGGAAGGTCACTCGTCTGCAATTACGTGTTTCACTCCCCCGTCCCACTCAAAATTCTCCAAAATAAAAAACGCAGGGAAACGGTATGCGAATACTATATGTTTTTCTAGTGTGGCCGTGATTTTGCCATCAACGGAAGTTTGTTGAATAGACATGAAGGTTAGAATCGTAATAATCTTCGACGAGCCCCCCTGAAAGTCAAATTAATGGTTCTTCACTAACCTGTTCCCTGTAGCGAACATGTTTGAACGCCTTGCACGGAAAGAGGAACGCGAAAGCATGGCAGGCATAAAAACTCATGACGTATTTGAGGAAGCAACTGAGGCAGAACAGCGACTCAATGAACAATCTAGACTCAGTGAAATAACACCGTCACTTCCGGTTAGTAACCAAGTGACGTCATCGACGGGAGTGAACGGTAAAGCGGAAAATGATGTCGAGATGAAAGAAGACGAGAAAGGAGGTGTAATATGCTGACATCCGTGTGAGGACAACGTCTTACTGTTTAAATTAGGCTGTGTCCGAACATCAGGCACTAAACTTTGGGCTGACGATTTCAAATTTCAACAGATATCTTACATCCAACCAATGCAACGAACCAGGGCGACAAACTAGGGTGTCAAACTAGTGTGACAAACTAGTATGACAAGCTAGTGGGACTAGCTAGTGTGACTAGCTAGTGTGACAAACTAGTGTGACAAACTGGTGTAACAAACTAATATAACACGCTAGTTTGACAAACTATTGTTATCTAATGTGAAAACTAGTATGACTGCGTGATGACAAAAATATGTTATTACTTTTCAAGAAGTATAGTTAAATCGAATAAGTAAAGATTTGTCAAAACATTTTACAATAAAAATCGAACATAATTTGAATCGCACAAATCGCATTTATAACAATATATTTACGACACGCCATCTATTTCAATGCATTGCTGATCATCGATATTCTGCCATTGGTCGTCATCTGAAAGATGCTCATGGGAACGTTAACTTACTCAATGAGAGCCAAATTTCGGGTGCTTAAAAAATGCAGCACGAAATGGGATTGCCTGGTCAACGAAATGTTGCACATAAGAACAAAAAGACGTAATTCAAACACCCAGAGCGACTCCCTTGAGGGTAAGCTCTTTGTTTGACTCTCAATGACTCTCAATTTATTCATTTTCTCATCTACATATATCTTATTTTTCTTATTTCATTCTCACTTGATAATGACGTTCTGGAAACGTCGAAACGTCGTGTAATGTTTTCCAAAATTTTATCGCCAATTTTTATTGTAAAAGTATAGTTAAGAGTAGAATATTCTGTTTTTGTTATTATAGATTTCAAATCCCAGTCGTTTAACTTAAGTGTAACTCCATGGTCAGTACTATGTCATATCTTAGAATATCAGTTTTTTTATTCTGTTTTTGTTATTATAGATTTCAAATCCCAGTCGTTTAACTTAAGTGTAACTCCATGGTCAGTACTATGTCATATCTTAGAATATCAGTTTTTTTATTCTGTTTTTGTTATTATAGATTTCAAATCCCAGTCGTTTAACTTAAGTGTAACTCCATGGTCAGTACTATGTCATATCTTAGAATATCAGTTTTTTTATTCTGTTTTTGTTATTATAGATTTCAAATCCCAGTCGTTTAACTTAAGTGTAACTCCATGGTCAGTACTATGTCATATCTTAGAATATCAGTTTTTTTATTCTGTTTTTGTTATTATAGATTTCAAATCCCAGTCGTTTAACTTAAGTGTAACTCCAGGGTCAGTATTATGTCATATCTTAGAATATCAGTTTTTTTTATTCTGTTTTTGTTATTATAGATTTCAAATCCCAGTCGTTTAACTTAAGTGTAACTCCAGGGTCAGTACTATGTCATATCTTAGAATATCAGTTTTTTTATTCTTCGGGGGTCTCTGTTTTGTAGGCAGCAATATAGTTAACTAGAATTGCACAGACATTTTAATAAGAATTAAAAATAATGTATGTATATAAAAAGATAACTCTTTGCATGTAGAACTGAAATGACTTCACGATAGAGCAATTTTCAACCGAATGTTGGAGGTTATACGGGATTCCTCCTTTAATAAGCGTAGAGATCGGTCTAGAAGACACACGCCCGTCTTTCAAATAATCAGATGAAAATTTAGAACCAATGGCGACCTGGTGACTTGCGTTTACGTTTGCGTGTTTTTACAGTGATTTCTTATTGGTTCCTTGTGATAGTTCCCTTTTTTTTCTGATTGGATGTTTCGATTATTTTGCGTTAAGTTCTATGAAGCTTAACCGAAAGGCTCTCTCTTGCAAGATACCCGTTTGGTATGCTCATCGCAGGTTTGCCTAAGGGTTTTATGTTATCCTGTTGTCTACACTGGTATCCATAATACACTTGGATGGAGAAAAACACAGAGTGAAAGTTAAGGCACCAGAAAGGGACGATACCAGTTGTACCGTAATACCTTGGACGCAAATTTTAACTGAGCAAACCGACCGCGTTTCTGAAACGGGTGGTCTCGTACTTTTAGGTTTGTCGACCGCTCTAATATGTTTGCATCTTCGTAATGTTCTAACGTTTATTCTGGCATGTGGTCCAAACACACCGGTAATGTTACGTGAGAGGGGGAAAATCAAAGGCTTCATAGACGTAAGTGACTGTAGTATTCACCACTTAATATTCATGGTAATTAGGTCCGTAGCTGATATAGGAGAGCGACATTTCCAACTTAATGGCAGTTTGAGCTGTTTTTCTTCGGTCCGGCTAGTGCTGCAAAAATTTCGGGAGTTATTCTGAGTTCAGGTTTCAATACTTGGAAGACGTTGGTTTTGTTTTGATAAGGTAGCGTTGTTTGAGCAAACAGAGTTTTCTTTGTTGTCCGGCTAATTCAATAGAGTTTGAAAGAAGTTTGCATCGAGTGTACACGTAAGGCATATTTGCTATGTTTATGGAAATGGTATTCGGTCCGTATAGTTTTAGCTACAGATTTTCAAGTTTGAAATTAAATATTGTTTTACGAGAACTCATCTGACTTGAAAAGGTATCTAAGTACTAGAAATGATTTTGAAAAGTGGAAAAAAAAAAAAACGCATTAAACGTGATGATTTTAGTCACTACGTTTCGTGAACTTTTTTTATCCATCGTGCGAAACAACGACTCCATCCGGACTAGCGTCGCGCAACTGTTTCACTTCAGTGAGTGATTAAAAACCAATTTCTCCTTATAATTACAATATCAACACGTTCCTAAGCAGAAAGGTGATGAGAACCAAAGAATTATTTTCCATGATGAAGTAAACACTCAGTTTCTCAGAGGTAGGATTTAGAGAAGAATACATCAAGAAGGTGCATGGGAATTATTTTTAGATCTAGGGTTAACGATGCCGTGCGTACCTGATAGATCGGATTCGACGCCTTTTTCAGAAAAAAAAAATACGCGTAGGCCGAATTATACCAGTAAAATTCAGGGTAGTCCATTCAGGGAGCTTACAAAGTATTCCTGCTATCAACAGGTGCGCTAGACCACGAGCAGTTCCTCCTTTTCAGCGAAGTTTGTCACGTGACTCTTAGAGAATCAGCGAAAAAAGAAGTTATTGTTGGTCAGCCGCGCCTTACTCCCAGAGCTCCCCGTGGCGCGCTAACACTAATTTTTTTCTCTAATTTTTTGTTTGACGTGCGCAACGGACTTCGCCGTAGAGGAGGGACTGCATGCTCGTAGTCTTTTGGGTACTCTAAGTACACTAAGTGCACGAAGTGTGCAAGCTATACTGAAATCCTGAACAGAAAAATCGAGGTTTCGTAACTTATAGTATGGACCGAGAAATGAGATCTTTATAACATCTCTGAGTTCAAATAGAGAAGGAAGATTCAATTCAAACAACCTACTGAATTGTGCTATCCGGCTCGCTAAATCGGAAGAGATAGAATGAAAACTCTGGAGTCCTTGAAAAACACAACCGGATGTCCGGATTGGTCCGATTCCAATTACAAGGAGATGACGACAAAAATAGATCTGGCGGGTTGAGCGAGAACAAATGTCGATAAGAACGACCATAATTCTCATGTCGCATGGATTTTTCGATTCCAGTTTTCAAGAAAAAACAAGGAGTGCAGAATCATCCTTAAATTTTCCAGGTAACCTAGCCTTAGTTGAACGCTACCACAAGCAAGGCCCCGGGGATACCTACTTTTAAAATCGGAAAATGTCCGAACTTTACCGAAGATTTGCCGAGAATGGTAGGAACAAAACATGGAGCATGCGTCTAATAATTCCGCCCTCTGACATAACACACCCGCCAGCGTCTACAGAAATACCAGCTGATTTTACCGGTGGAGTATTCAAGAGACACAACAGGTTACAAGAAATTGAGTTGAAGATCGTCTGATTGCTCCGAAATTAACGAAGAGATTTAAATATCCATAGCGTTGAGAAAAGGCTTGAAAATAATTTCTTTCTCAGCAGACGGACGACCCTCAGTTTCATGGAATCAGTTTTTCCTTGGCTTTTAAAATACTCAGGATTTTTTGGTACGTGACGATAACTGGGGTTATTCTGCCATTCTGTTTGTACCGGAAGATCAAGAGAGCGGCCTGTTTCGGGTAGGTTTGTTTTCGTTTTTACAACAATGATATGAAACTTGTGACTCAAACGGAACAAAACCTGCGCTGACAAAATATTAACTAGTATTGAAGGACTTTCAGCGAGTCTTGACTTAAACATCTACCACAGATTCAAATTGTATTTGGAAGATTGTAACTGCAAGGTCACAAGTTGTTCCTAGCATAGATTACAGAACTCTATTTTGTAGTGTTGTACCTGGCTTACCATATTTTAATTTCTTCATTACGAAAATGTACCATTTTGTGTTATTTTTTGGAACTGAGAAATCGGTAGATTATTACGTATACCGTATACGTGTCGTTTCAAGTAAAGAAAATTTCCGAACTTTAGTGAACTGGTGAGACTGATAGGTGTGCGATCAGCAGAGAAAATCTAAAATTTTGTGTTTATGAATTTGAACAATTCATCCTCGCTCGCGAAAAATGACAAATGAGTTCTTACTTTATACGATTGTCCTTTGGAAAGAGTTGATTTTAAATCTCCTCTCACCGCAAGTGATAGTTGAAGTCAACACTTAAAATAATACATTTTTACACTTAGATTCTCCCCCCAAAAAATTAATATTTAGTTCTCCCTTAAGATGCGTAGACCACCAACACCGCCAGGTCGGTTATTAGCGCAACGTGCCTCCAGTTTTTGGAGTGAATATTTAGATTGGGGATATCTCGATATTTCTAGCATAAAGCAAACTAGCAGTGTTGCACGCTATACTTCGGTGCGCGATGTTGGTTGATCAAAGAGAGCCATGGAGCTTTTCCCTGGTTTCCTGGGACACTGGGGGTGTTGTGTATGCTGATCCAAAAAACCTTTCGCTTAATCGGAGTCATACCCTTTGTACCTTGTAGGCAAGTTCTCAAAACTAAACAAAAGAGGTATTAACCCGTTGCAGCCAGCATCAGTAAGCATGTTCTCCATACTGTTCTCTATTCATTTCCAAGGATGCTGACAAGGAGAATTTGTTTAACAAGCATGAGTTTCTTTAGATGGTGATCATTTTCTTTATTCTCCTGACCTCAATGTATGATTCGAGGTTGACATTCTAAGGAGAAATTAGATGCTAGTCACTCTTAAGCGTCCACGGATGAAGCAAGGAGAAAAGCTACTTTCATGCGGAGCAGAAGGGATCTTGTAAGTTAACTGTGATTTATTTCTACAGGTGCCGATCCATTATGAAGCCACAGACGAAGAGAAGTTTGTGCCTGGGAAGTTTCCTTGTGATTGTCACAGTCGTGGTTCTGTACTCGTACTGTAATGGAAATTCTGTCTGCTACACGTTTCCCTTCCTAAGTGGACTGGACCGAGACAGGCTAGGTACCAAATCACAAGCAGAAGTGGTAGTCGCTTCCGTTATCGTGCAGACAAAGCGACCGTTGGAAATGACAACACCTCTGAAAAAACAGAAAGGTATATAGCAATCTGCGGTCTTTCCTTACACTTAGGTAGCACGGAAAGCCGTAAAAATCTTGAACAAAAGCTCATCTTTCAAACCGGCAGTCTAAATCCCACAGGGATCAACGAACGCTTTTCATTCCACTAATTTACTCTTGTTTTTCTCGTTGCCATGTTCCCACCAATAACGTAGCTCCATTTTCTGCCTTTAAAAGCACACACAACCCACAATTCCTCTATTCGCTCCGACGAAGGGCTAACGCTCGAAACGTCAGCTTTTGTAATCGTTACGGTGGCCAATTTACCATTTCAACTTTGTTGATATATCCAAATTATTATATAGCAATACATCATGCCACATCCACATCTTCAGTAACTACTAATCTTAAATCTTGAATCGATCGAGGGCCCCGTTATCTGTACAGTGACTATCCAAACAAGTGATCATATTAGAGCGCCTTTTGATTGGGTGTCATTAACCACAACCAATTAAAATAGTCACAACAGCCAATCAAAAGAAAGGAAAATACGTTCATAGCTAAAACAACCAAACAGCCTAAAGCGCGGGAAAACTCGGGCGATAAAGTCGTGATTAGTTTTAGTTATGGATCTGATTGGTTTAGAGAGTGGCCCGAGTTTTCTGGACCAATCATAGAGTGAAATAAAACGAAATCAATGCAATCTCGGGTTACTTTCGACAATCAATAAGAATTCCTCTACGAAAAGCATTTGCATTTACAGAGGGTTCCACTCATAGCAGATTGGCTTGCCCCGCTACGCGACAGATTTAGCCAAAGAGACGTGAGACGGGAAAGCAGTTGCGAACAGGACTAACCTGAAACAGGCTAAAGTGAGCTAATTGCAAGGAAACTAAGCAGAACTAAACAACTAACTTGATAGCCAGGTGAAATGATATAATAAAAATTTAAGAACCTTCAGTCTTTCGGTAGATACCTCTTACGTGGTAGCTAAAAGTAGTAACTATATTTCTCAACTTGTGACTAGGTGGAACTCTAAATTCGTGTTCGAGCCCACGAAATGCGAATGCTGAGAGTTATCAGTTTTGATTTCCTTGTATTTAGCTAGAACGTTGCCTAGAGCGCATAGCACTATTGACTCTCGCAGTAATCCAAAACCAAAGTAGTATTGAGGGAAAACCAGATAAAAAGGGAAAAATTGAAACGTGGCAACGAGAGCTCAGGATAAAAACCGAGCAAACTGTCTGAAGCGCGAGAAAGAGCACGCGAGCGACCAAGTCGTTTTCCATCGGATTGGCAAAGGTGGTGGCACGAAATTTTTTTCGACCAATCACCAAGCGAAGTGAAAGAAAGTCAAATTAATCTGAGATTACTTTACCGCTCTTAATCTGTATCATAGTACGTTGAACTTTATCAAATTCTTGCTAATCGCATTTATTAATTTCCACAGGGTCAATTTATGAGACCTCAAGAATACTTGGTGATCTTCATACGAAAAATAAAAAAGAAGAAGATGATGGAAAGACTGTTAACGTTACTGTTGAAAAAGTTGAAAAAGTTGAAAAACTCCATTTTTACCAGAACAGAACTATTCATCACACACATTTGATGACTGGAGTGGAGGAACAACATAATGATACACGCGCAGAGAAGACGCATGATTTCAAAAAACACGTCTTGCCTCCTTCTGACATAGTTGGAAAGATCGCAGAAGAAATTTTACGAAAAGCTAACGTATCCGAAGAAGAAGCTAACAGGGAACTTATGCGCGCCGAAAAAGTCGACGAATATGTCGACAGGGAGAGAGAACAAAGTAGGAGAATGAAACAACACGAACATTCTCTTCTGGAAAAGTTGAAAGAGTCAAGAAGTACTGGAGGAAAAAGCAAAGAGAAGACACTGGTACGAGTTGAAAGAGTAGACCTGACTGATGAGGAGGAAGAGGATGAAGTTCCAGCACAGGAAAAACCTGTCAAACATGACAAACCTGTCAAACAAGAAGAACATGTCAATAAAGAAAAGCCTGTTGAAGCTTCTTACGAGGCGCGGTTTCAGAAAAGAGCTGCGTCAAGTAATACAGGGATTAAAAGGTTTACAGTAGAGAAAAAGAGCAACAAAACTTTGATGAGCGAGAATAAAAAATCATCGTACGAAAGAAGATTTGGTAAAACAAATAAGATAAATAACACATTGAATAATACGTCTGCTGTAAAAAAAGGTGACACCGTTCCCGATTCCAAAAGCAACGAAACGACGGAAACTATTACGATCACGCCCCCACCATTCTTTGCCAAGTTTTTGAAAATTACCGAAAAGGAACGAGAAATGATGGATTTTCTTCATAATTACACCGAAAGTAACGGAACGCTTTTTGGACGGGTGTTAAATATTACTCAAGAGAGGAATGGTACCAAGAATAAGGAGCTCGATATGGTGCAGGTGCGCGCTGATGCAGCTCATTTGCGTGAAAAAAGAGACGATAAAGAAGGCAATTTTCGTGATACCCTTAAACCCTTGATAGATAAATTGTTTGGATCAAATAATGGCACTAAAGATTTAAAAGAATCATTCAACTTGAGCGACATTCTTGGAAAACTAACCAGTGGCAGGGCTAGTCAAAATTTTCCTGCGACAGATAACAAGCAAACTTCATCGCTGGATAGCAGGG